AGAGAGAGGAGGGGAGAGAGAGAGAGAGGAGAGAGAGGAGGAGAGAGAGAGGAGAAGGAGAGAGAGAGAGAGAGAGAGAGGAGAGACACACAGCCTGGTCACTTCAGACTGTCATAATGGACTTTAATAGTTGAGGTTTAATAGGGCCGATCGATGGGAGGATCAGAGGGTGTGTCCCTATGGCACCCTATTCCCTATGGGCCCTGGTCAAATATAGTGCACTATGTAGGGAAGCATCCTGAGTGTGATTGCTGGCTCTCTCTCCCTGGTCCCTCTGAGGGCGATTGAAGTGAAGAGAAGTTATACTCTTCTATCAGTATGGTAGATGGATACATGGCTCATCGATTACTGCTGCACTGTGTGTGTGTGTGTGTGTGTGTGTGTATGAGAGAGAGAGAAAGAAAGAGAGATAGACATAGATAGAGAGGGAGGGTATGTCAAGCACACACACACACACACACACACTCACCACCACTTCAGGGTTAATAGTCTCGCTCAACACTAAACGACACATGGGTTTTTTATCAGGGGGAGGTGAGAGGCGAGGTGGGGGAGCCGAGAGAAGAGAGGCGAGGGGGAGAGAGAGCAGCGCAGCGGGAGCAGCAGGAGCAAGCGGCGCGGGAGCGCAAGAGAGACGCGAGAGGGGGAGAGGCCGCGAGCAAGGGAAGCGGAGCGACGCAGAGAGACGAAAGCGCAGAGGGGAGAAAGAGCAGCAGAAGCAAAATGAGAAAGCGATCGGGTCGCCGCGTCAGAGCCGCGTGCGAGAGCGGGCGCGCGCGAGGAGCACCGCGCGGGGCCGCCGAGAGACACGCGCAGCGGCGCAGACGGAGCACGCGCGCGCGGCGCAGCCGTAGAACGCGCGAGGGCGTCGCGACACTGCCGGGGCGCCACCCGCGGCGGGCGCCGGCGCGAGCACGCCCGAGGGCGCGCGCGAGCACGCGCGCGCGGGCGCCGCGCGAGACGCGCGAGGCGCCGCCGCGAGAACGCGCGCGCGGGCGCCGGGGCAGGCCGAGCCCCGGCCGCCGCGAGAAGCGCCGCACGCGGGCCGCGAGAGGGGCGCCGCCGCGAGGGGGCGCGCCCAGGGCGCGCGAGCACGCGCGCGGGCCGCCGCGAGCACGCGCGGGCGCCCCGGAGCACCGGGGGCGCGCGAGCAGCGGGGCGCGCCGCGAGACGCGCGGGGGCGTACCCGCGAGCGGGAGCAGCGGAGCCGCGCGGGCGCCGGCGCGAGCGACGCGGGCGCCGCACGCGAGCACGGCGCGGGCGCCGGCGAGCGCGAGCGGGGGCGCCGCGAGCACGCGCGCGGGAGCCGCGCGAGCACGCGCCGGGCGCAGCGGAGCAAGCGCGCGGGCGACGAGCAACGCAGCGAGGGCGCAGAAGAGCGGCGCAGCACGCGGCGGGGCGGCGCCGGAGAACGCGGCCGGTCGCAGCGCGAGCAACGGACGGGAGAGCGCCACGATACACTCTGCTTCTGCCATATCCGTATTCTCTATCACTCGCTCCTCATAACTCTGATTGCTCATACTTATCACTGCTCTTTCTCCTCTTTCAGTCATTCTTCTCTTCCTCTGACAATCTCTCCTGTCTTCATCCGTCATCTCTCCTCCTATCACTCTCTCTTTCTCCTATTCAGTCATTCTCTCCTGTCCTTCTCTCTCTTCCCGTTGCAACACTTTCCTCCCCATCTCCATATCACACTCTTCTCTCCTCTGTCCCAGTCTCTCTCTCCTCCTCTGTCTCTCCTCTGTCTCTCCTCCTCTCTCTCTCCTCCTCTGTCCCAGTCTCTCTCTCCTCCTCTGTCTCTCCTCCTCTCCTCCTCTCTCTCTCCTCCTCTGTCCCAGTCTCTCTCTCCTCCTCTGTCTCTCCTCTGTCTCTCCTCCTCTCCTCCTCTCTCTCTCCTCCTCTGTCCCAGTCTCTCTCTCCTCCTCTGTCTCTCCTCTGTCTCTCCTCCTCTCCTCCTCTGTCTCTCCTCCTCTCCTCCCCTGTCCCAGTCTGTCCATCCCTGTGTGTTGCAATGTCGTCCCTACTGAAGAAGGAGATGCAGAGGATGCTGTTTAGACCCGAAGGACAGAAACTACAGATGTTTATAGAGATAGATGAAGCAACACCAGAAAGACATTTTCTCTGTGTCTACGGTAAAAATCAGCATCTTCTGTTTCAATTGTTTAATTTATTCTTCATTTATTTATTCAGTCATCTTGGTTTATTTTTCTTTTGTACGATTCTCTCCTTCCTTCCCTTTATAAATGATGTTCTGTCTGTTCCCTGGTTTTTCTTCTGTTTTCTCTGTCCTTCTTTCCCTTTCTAAATGATGTTCTGTCTGTTCCCTGGTTTTTCTTCTGTTTTCTCTGTCCTTCTTTCCCTTTCTAAATGATGTTCTGTCTGTTCCCTGGTTTTTCTTCAGTTTTCTCTGTTCTTTCTCTTTCCTCCCTGTCACAGAGACGATGACGTTTCTGTGCTATCTGTTTTAGGTGTACTTGTTCTTTTTAATGATTGATTGAAGGTCCCGTGTGGCTCAGTTGGTAGAGCATGGCGCTTGCAATGCCAGGGTTGTGGGTTCGATTCCCACGTGGGACCAGTACGAAAAGAAAGTGTGAAAATGTATGCACTCACTACTGTAAGAAGCTCTGGATAAGAGTGTCAAGTAAGATATTGATTGTTTTTTCGAAGTCTGTTGATGATGAGGTTACTAGGGTCATATAACACACTAGATCTGCTATGTAAAATAGGCTTGAATAGTTTGGCTGTAGATACAGCCGGTGAACGTTACAAATAGAGGAGTGTTACTTCTACTGCTAATTGAATTTCCAATGCTGCATAACATTCAGTTGTCTTCGGAAAACAGCATCCCTTTGGAACAATGCATTTTTTTCCCCTATGGGAAAGCGACATTGGTTTTGCTTGGGAAAACTGCTTGACTTTTACCTTTCCAAAACGTCATTGTTGTTCTCTGGTCCACAGTGACCAAGACCAAAGAGGTGCAGCTGAGTGTGGTGAGATCCCAGAAATCACACAATTCTGGATCAAAGAAGTCGCTGAATTCTCAGAAATCCCAGAATTCCGGATCGAATAAGAAGCTAAAGTCTCAGTTTTGCCTGAGTTCCTGCTTGATGAACTCCTACCTGAAGACGGAAGTCTGGCTCCTCCAGGACCTTACTCTGCTGGACGGGCGGGATCCGGACGTGGTAAGGAACATCATTCTCCGATTTTCCACATTGCATTACATCAGTGTTTACATTTAAGTGTTGACTCTAGGGGCTGCCATGATTCTGTCCTCACTGCATGGTGAACAGTTGTTCCATTGCAACATTTGCTGTGACACAGACACCCTCTGTATAATTCTTCTTCGTCTTCTATTTCTAGTCCCCCTTTGATGACCTCACCTCACCTCTCTTCTTTCCTCCTATAGGACGACCCGTGTTTCCTGATGCACTTCTCCACTGTGCGCTCGGTGACAGCCTTCAGCTGCGGAGCCAAGTACTGCATGGCGCGGGTCCTGGTTGCCCTGAGCGACAAGCACTGCGGGCGACCTTTGACCCTAGTGAACTATGACCTGGCCTACATCAGCCCGTCGACTGTATATTTGAACAGAGGAGACTGCATGGTGCTGATGCAGATATGTTTCTACGCTGTTAACCTGGTGTGTCTGTCCTTGTGCCCTGTACCTCTGGACTGAGAGAGAGAGAGAGAGAGAGAGAGAGAGAGAGAGAGAGAGAGAGAGAGAGAGAGAGAGAGAGAGAGAGAGAGAGAGAGAGACTGTGTGGGTGTGTATGTGAGTGTTTGTGTGTGTGTGTGAATTATAGACTCTATCATGTATCAAGAATGCACCATTTAAAATGGATTGTCTTTCCAGATTTCTAAGTGTCTGTGTTGCGTGTACTTGTAAGGCTTTTGTATTTGTTCCGATTCTGAACTTCTGTTCCCTAAGCATGTGAAATGATTATAGCTAATAATCTGAATAAAATGTAACAACTTGGCGTTTGTCTTCTTATGTTGTCATTCCATCAGTTTTTCATAATTTTTCTCTTCCAAATATCTTCAATAGTTTGTGCTGCAGTAAAACACAATCAACAAACAGTGGTCCAAGGTAGTGGGTTCATTCCCGGGACCACCCATACACAAAAAATGTATGCACGCATGACTGTAAGTCGCTTTGGATAAAAGCGTCTGCTAAATGGCATATTATTATATTATTATTATTAACAAACTCTGATCTCATGCGGTTATTTTCGATGACCAAATCAAAGACAGTACAGTATAAAGATAGGCAGAAAGTGCTTCTCCAATAGAAATCCCCGATCACACTAGTAGGCGATGTCATGGCGACGTTGGCTAGCTAAAGACGTCATCGGGTCTAATGGTCGTCTCGCTCCAAACTGCGCATGTGCAAGCCGTCGCAAAGGCACTCCTTCGATATAAAGTAAGTTTTTGACGAAAATGAAAACGTATCAGTTTGTCACTTTCACGAGGATGTAGTAACGACATGTTCAACTACTTAAGACATTGGCTCTAATCTAGCCCGTGCCTTTCGATTTCGAGAAGATGAACAACTAATCGTTCACTTCTCTTCTCAAACCCCGGCCTGGTCTGTTCGGTCTCTTTCGCGATGTTGCGCCTCTGTGTTTAGAAACTCTGTGACCAAATTGCCTGATCTAAAAAAAAAAATATAAGAAAACACATTGTTCAATATTTACAGCTATTATTAAAATTCTACAACACTTTAAAAAAAAAAAAAAAAGGTATCAAATAAGTAGGTATGATTGGGTATAAAATGGTTTAAAAAAAAAGGTTTACAACAACATTTGTGCGATAGGCGCATGCGCAGGAGCAGAGAGCGGCAGCGTGCCTGGCGCCCAAATTCGAAAAGCGTTTCTGTTGTTGACAGCACCACAACACTAGCTCTCCGGGTAGCCTGGTGGTTTTTTTGAAACGTTATTACAATATATCGAAAAAAGGATTACATTGGAAATAGTTTTTTTTGGGGGGGAAAGGACAACGCAAAGATGCACATCAAATCTATTATCTTAGAAGGGTTCAAGTCCTACGCGCAGAGGACAGAAATCAACGGATTTGATCCGCTCTTCAACGCTATCACTGGACTCAACGGAAGTGGAAAATCCAACATTCTCGACTCGATATGCTTTCTATTGGGGATATCCAACTTGTCTCAGGTAATATGCTAGCTACTTATTCATTCATTCGCAGTGAAGTTGCAGTTTTTATCCAGTGAGCTAAATACATTTCCTTGAAGTTAGCTTGTTGAGTTAGCTAGCTAGCTAACGTTAACTTGATACCACGTTCAATGAGGGTCACAGTAACGTTAGTAGAGAAGCTAGCTAGCTGTACTTCCATCTGATCTTAACTTATCTTTCAGGTGCGAGCGGCCAATCTCCAGGATTTGGTGTACAAGAACGGTCAGGCCGGTATCACCAAAGCCACGGTGTCCATAACATTCGACAACTCCAACAAGAGCCAGAGTCCGCTTGGGTTCGAGACCCACGACGAAATCACGGTCACTAGACAGGTACGTTGTTCTCCCCCCCCCTAGCCTCTATCCCTGTTTGTGGAAAGAGTCATGTTCCTGAATAAAAACGTGTGCCCTGCACCAGCTGGTCCAAGCCAGGGGATACTACTAGCTAACTACAACTTCTGTCGAGTGGTCTGATTGAACCTCTTATGTGGTAGCTACTGCGTTAGGTTAGGTCTGGTTTGAAAATAATCGTTGGTTCAAGTCCCAGCTCTGACTGTTCCCCTTCCCAAATCACTACACTAACTGTCCACTGACTTGATTTCTCAGATGTATCCTGTATTGTCACTAGCCACTCAAACTAGTAATGCTTTTCACTATGATGACGTCTCATGCTGTCTCCTGTTTTTTTTTCTCTCACCTTAATCACTACACTGGTGTTGACTGCTTATTACAGGATGATGATCCATTCAAACGGGTGCCTTTACTATAATAATATATCTTACTTTGCCGTAGCCTCTTGTTCTACTCACAGGTGGTGAGTAGCTATTATTAGCCGATAGCCATTCAAAGCGATGCCATTTACTGTAGAGGATGCTCTTAAAGTGTTACTATGGTGATTTACTGTGATGGAGTGGAGTGTCACTTTGCCGTATCCTTCAATCCCAGGTGGTGATAGGTGGTAGGAACAAGTACCTGATCAACGGGGTGAATGCCAACAACACCAGGGTGCAGGATCTGTTCTGCTCTGTAGGACTCAACGTCAACAACCCCCACTTCCTCATCATGCAGGTAGGTGTTTGAACACCGGAAGTACCTGAGTTGTTGTGTTCATTAGCCGCACACCGTAGCAAATCGTTTTTTGCGACGAACAAGAGTTTCTATTGGACAAATTCTGGTTCCGTTTGGTTTCTAGAGAATACGCCCCTGAATGTTGTTCCACTTGTTGATAAGGAGCTTCTGCTTATAGGTCTAAGGGGAATCGAACTGTGGTACCACAAGTTTTATAAATGACTTGAATATTTATTTTATATATTTATAAATTTCTCTTTACAATATTTCAGGGGAGAATCACCAAGGTTCTGAACATGAAACCGCCTGAGGTAAGTCTACACACACACACACACACACACACACACTGTTGAATCATGAAGTCTTGTAGCTTCTTGAAGCTTCCGTAGAGACACACTCCACTCCACACACACCTCCTGGAGAAAGACGGACACACAAACATTCCTTTACCCTCCTCTATAAATCTCTAACCCTCCTCTCTCCTCCATAAATCTCCTCTCTACTCCTCCTCTCTCCTCCATAAATCTCCTCTCTACTCCTCCTCTCTCCTCCATAGATCCTAGCCATGATAGAGGAGGCAGCAGGAACCAGGATGTATGAGTGTAAAAAGATTAGCGCCCAGAAAACCATCGAGAAGAAAGAAGCCAAACTCAAAGAGATACAGACGGTGCGGCCTGTGATAACTTAGCTCGGTGTTTCCTGGTCCTGGGGACCCAAAGGGGTGCACGGTTTTGTGTTTTTCTCTAGCAAACTAGGTTCAACTAATCACACCTTCAGTTGAATCTAGTGTGTTAGTGCTAGGACACAAAAATATATGCACCTCTTGGGGTCCCCAGGATTAGGAAATGGACATAGCTCTTACTATCAAAAATGGTGCCTTGGATATTGGTCGGATTGGACTAATTTTGTGTTTGGTTGTGTTGTGTTCAGATCCTTAATGAAGAGATCACTCCTACCATGCAGAAGCTGAAGGAGGTAGGAACTCACATTTTTAAGATATGTTTTGTAGAATAGGGGATCATCATGTCAGCTCAATACAAGACATTTCTATCTGGTTCGGCGATGTTGAGATCCTTGTCCCCTCATCATGAGTGTGACCCTGGAATAAGCCCCCTCGCCTCCACCAAGTAGACATTCCTTTTTTCCTCACTGTCCCTCCATCTATCCCACGTGGCTCAGTTGGTAGAGCATGGCACTTGTAACGCCAGGGTTGTGGGTTCGAATCCCACGGGGGATCAGTACGAATGAAAATGTTTGCACTCATTACTGTAAGTGGCTCTGGATAAGAGCGTCTGCTAAATGACTAAATGTAAATGTATCCCCTACATAACCATCTTCTATTCTCCCTCCCTCCCTCCCTCCCTCCATCTCTCCCTCCATCCCTCCATCCTCTGTAGGAGCGGTCTTCCTACCTGGAGTACCAGAAGTTGATGAGAGAGATAGAACACCTGAGTCGTCTGTACGTGGCCTGGTTGTTTGTCTGTGCAGAGGAGTCCAAGGTACTCACTCACTCTCTCACACACTCACACTCACACTCACACTCACACACACTCACTCTCACACTCACTCTCACACTCACTCACTCTCACACACACTCACTCTCACACACACTCACTCTCACACACACTCACTCTCACACACACTCACTCTCACACTCACACACTCACTCTCACACTCACTCACTCACTCTCACTGAAGGTCCTGTGTTGAATATGACCTCATGTTTTATATGGTGTGTTCTCATGTCATGTTGCTCTGCTGTCTTCTCTTGTCATGTTGCTCTGCTGTCTTCTCTTGTCATGTTGCTCTGCTGTCTTCTCTTGTCATGTTGCTCTGCTGTCTTCTCTTGTCATGTTGCTCTGCTGTCTTCTCTTGTCACGTTGCTCTGCTGTCTTCTCTTGTCACGTTGCTCTGCTGTCTTCTCTTGTCACGTTGCTCTGCTGTCTTCTCTTGTCACGTTGCTCTGCTGTCTTCTCTTGTCACGTTGCTCTGGTGTCTTCTCTTGTCACGTTGCTCTGCTGTCTTCTCTTGTCATGTTGCTCTGGTGTCTTCTCTTGTCATGTTGCTCTGGTGTCTTCTCTTGTCATGTTGCTCTGCTGTCTTCTCTTGTCATGTTGCTCTGCTGTCTTCTCTTGTCATGTTGCTCTGCTGTCTTCTCTTGTCACGTTGCTCTGCTGTCTTCTCTTGTCACGTTGCTCTGCTGTCTTCTCTTGTCACGTTGCTCTGCTGTCTTCTCTTGTCACGTTGCTCTGCTGTCTTCTCTTGTCACGTTGCTCTGCTGTCTTCTCTTGTCATGTTGCTCTGGGGTCTCCTTGTATGCCCAGCAATGTCCGTTGGGGATGAATAACAAAGTGAATTGAATGTAATTAAATATAATGGAATGTGATTGAATTCACTGTAATTGGATTTGCAGGTGAAGTTTTAATGGAATTGTTGTTAATAAAGTTTTCTTGATTTTAAATCGCAGGTGAAGTCAGCGGAGGACCTGAAGGTAATGCAGGACTCCATCACTCAGCTGCAGGCCAACATGGCGGACAACGAACACAAGGTCCAGGAGCTCTCCGCTCAGATACAGGAACTGCAGAAGAAGAGGGACCAAGTAATGACATGCTATATTCAATTCAATACAACTTTATTAATCCACTCTGGCAGCGTTGGAGCAGAAACATGTTGCAGATAACATAGCACATTGATGGGCACCACTTCTCTAATGTGAATGAAGAGTAATGGCAGTTCTATGTGATACATTTCTATCTGCAACTGTTCAATCTCATTGGATGGACTGTTATATTTCTAACATTTAGCTTAGAGGTTATTACATATGACTATGTTCTGTGTGCCCTGCCGTCTGTGTGCCCTGACGTCTATGTGTGTCTCTCCTGTCCCATAGGAGGTTGGTGGAGTGCTGAAGGGTTTAGAGGAGACTCTGTCTGAGGTCCAGAGGGTTGATGCTAAAGCCCAGAGTGCCGTGGACATGAAGAAACAGAACCTGAAAGACGAAACCAAGAAGAGGAAGGAACTGGTGAAGACCATGGAGGAGGTGAGAGGGTGTATGGGGTGGAGAGAGGGTGTAGGGGTGGAGAGAGGGTGTAGGGGTGGTGAGAGGGTGTAGGGGGTGGTGAGAGGGTGTAGGGTGGTGAGAGGGGGTAGGGGTGGTGAGAGGGGTAGGGGTGGGAGAGGAGGGTGGAGATAGGGTGTAGGGGTGGAGAGAGGGTGTAGGGGTGGAGAGAGGGTGTAGGGGTGGAGAGAGGGAGAGATGGAGAAAAGCTGACAGTCTGAAATATGAAGATAATAGGTTGTTACAACTACAACCACTTTCCCCTTTTCTCTCTCTCAATTCAATTCAATTTAAGGCCTTTATTGGCAGGGAAACATATGTTTACATGGCCAAAATAAGTTAAATAGATAATCTCTCGGTCTCTCTCACTCTCTGTCTGTCTGTGTTTCCCCCCCAGGATAAGAAGATGCTAGTGGTTAAGGAAGGAGAGGTATCTAAGGCATCAGAGAAGCTGTCTGCCCTACAGGAGGAAGGTCAGAAGGATAGCGCCGCCCTAGAGGCCGCACAGTGTCACTTCAAGGCTGTGTCCGCAGGGCTGTCCACCAATGAGGACGGAGAAGAGGCCACGCTCGCTGGACAGATGATGACCTGCAAGAACGACATGAGTAAAGCTGACACTGAGGCCAAACAGGTGAGCGTCGCGAGAGTCGATTGATTGATTTGTAATAAGACATATTTGAAACAGAGAACTGATTGATTTGTAATAAGACATATTTGAAACAGAGAGTTGATTGATTTGTAATAAGACATATTTGAAACAGAGAATTGATTGATTTGTAATAAGACATATTTGAAACAGAGAATTGATTGATTTGTAATAAGACATATTTGAAACAGAGAATTGATTGATTTGTAATAAGACATATTTGAAACAGAGAATTGATTGATTTGTAATAAGACATATATGAAACAGAGTTGATTGATTTGTAATAAGACATATTTGAAACAGAATTGATTGATTTGTAATAAGACATATTTGAAACAGAGAATTGATTGATTTGTAATAAGACATTTGAAACAGAGAATTGATTGATTTGTAATAAGACATATTTGAAACAGAGAATTGATTGATTTGTAATAAGACATATTTGAAACAGTTGATTGATTTGTAAGAACGATCTGAGTAAAGCTGACACAGGCCCAACAGGTGACCTCTGACCTCTATCTGACCTACGACCTTCAAAGAATGTAAACTGAATGAGGAGGATGGCCTCAATACAAGTGTTTCCTGCTGTGCTGGATGAGTATCTCTAAGACTTAACTCTCTTTCTGTTGGTTGTTCTCCTCAGGCTCAGATGAAGCTGAAACATGCCCAGCAGGAGCTGAAGGCCAAGCAGACAGAGGTGAAGAAGATGGACTCTGGTTACCAGAAAGACCAGGAGGCCTTCAACACCGTCAAGAAGAACAAGGAGAAACTAGAGGCTGATATGGGGAAACTACAGTACCAAGGTAGAGGAGGAGGAGGAGGGAGAAACTAGAGGCTGATATGGGGAAACTACAGTACCAAGGTAGAGGAGGAGGAGGAGGGAGAAACTAGAGGCTGATATGGGGAAACTACAGTACCAAGGTAGAGGAGGAGGGGGGAGAAACTAGAGGCTGATATGGGGAAACTACAGTACCAAGGTAGAGGAGGAGGAGGAGGGAGAAACTAGAGGCTGATATGGGGAAACTACAGTACCAAGGTAGAGGAGGAGGAGGGGGGAGAAACTAGAGGCTGATATGGGGAAACTACAGTACCAAGGTAGAGGAGGAGGAGGGAGAAACTAGAGGCTGATATGGGGAAACTACAGTACCAAGGTAGAGGAGGAGGAGGAGGGAGAAACTAGAGGCTGATATGGGGAAACTACAGTACCAAGGTAGAGGAGGAGGAGGAGGAGAAACTAGAGGCTGATATGGGGAAACTACAGTACCAAGGTAGAGGAGGAGGAGGAGGGAGAAACTAGAGGCTGATATGGGGAAACTACAGTACCAAGGTAGAGGAGGAGGGGGGAGAAACTAGAGGCTGATATGGGGAAACTACAGTACCAAGGTAGAGGAGGAGGAGGGAGAAACTAGAGGCTGATATGGGGAAACTACAGTACCAAGGTAGAGGAGGAGGAGGAGAGAAACTAGAGGCTGATATGGGGAAACTACAGTACCAAGGTAGAGGAGGGAGAAACTAGAGGCTGATATGGGGAAACTACAGTACCAAGGTAGAGGAGGAGGAGGGAGAAACTAGAGGCTGATATGGGGAAACTACAGTACCAAGGTAGAGGAGGAGGAGGAGGGAAAACTAGAGGCTGATATGGGAAACTACAGTACCAAGGTAGAGGAGGAGGGGGGAGAAACTAGAGGCTGATATGGGGAAACTACAGTACCAAGGTAGAGGAGGGAGAAACTAGAGGCTGATATGGGGAAACTACAGTACCAAGGTAGAGGAGGAGGAGGGAGAAACTAGAGGCTGATATGGGGAAACTACAGTACCAAGGTAGAGGAGGAGGAGGAGGAGGAGAAACTAGAGGCTGATATGGGGAAACTACAGTACCAAGGTAGAGGAGGAGGAGGGGGAGAAACTAGAGGCTGATATGGGGAAACTACAGTACCAAGGTAGAGGAGGAGGAGGAGGGAGAAACTAGAGGCTGATATGGGGAAACTACAGTACCAAGGTAGAGGAGGAGGAGGGGAGAAACTAGAGGCTGATATGGGGAAACTACAGTACCAAGGTAGAGGAGGAGGAGGAGGGAGAAACTAGAGGCTGATATGGGGAAACTACAGTACCAAGGTAGAGGAGGAGGGAGGGAGAAACTAGAGGCTGATATGGGGAAACTACAGTACCAAGGTAGAGGAGGAGGAGGAGGGAGAAACTAGAGGCTGATATGGGGGAAACTACAGTACCAAGGTAGAGGAGGAGGAGGAGGGAGAAACTAGAGGCTGATATGGGGAAACTACAGTACCAAGGTAGAGGAGGAGGGGGGAGAAACTAGAGGCTGATATGGGGAAACTACAGTACCCAAGGTAGAGGAGGAGGAGGAGGGAGAAACTAGAGGCTGATATGGGGAAACTACAGTACCAAGGTAGAGGAGGAGGAGGAGGGAGAAACTAGAGGCTGATATGGGGAAACTACAGTACCAAGGTAGAGGAGGAGGGAGAAACTAGAGGCTGATATGGGGAAACTACAGTACCAAGGTAGAGGAGGAGGAGGAGGGAGAAACTAGAGGCTGATATGGGGAAACTACAGTACCAAGGTAGAGGAGGGGAGGGAGAAACTAGAGGCTGATATGGGGAAACTACAGTACCAAGGTAGAGGAGGAGGGAGAAAACTAGAGCTGATTATGGGGAAATACAGTACCAGTAGGAGAGGAGAAACTAGGGCTGATATGGGGAAACTACAGTACCAGGTAGAGGAGGAGGAGGGGGGAGAAACTAGAGGGCTGATATGGGGAAACTACAGTACAAGGTAGAGGAGGAGGAGGGAGAAACTAGAGGCTGATATGGGAAAACTACAGTACCCAAGGTAGAGGAGGAGGAGGGAGAAACTAGAGGCTGATATGGGGAAACTACAGTACCAAGGTAGAGGAGGAGGGAGAAACTAGAGGCTGATATGGGGAAACTATAGTACCAAGGTAGAGGAGGAGGAGGGGGGGAGGAGCAATACCCAAACAAGAGATGAAAGAGTAACAGTTTGCTGATTCTTTCACAAAGGAAACTGTCAAGATGGGACAATATCAGATGTTTTGTTGTTTTAATTGGAGTTGTACCTGCTGGACGCTTTACAACAATAATTAGGGATTCAAATGTTGAGCCTTGTGCTGACGTCTGATGTGTTGTTTATCAGATGGGAAGGAGGAGAGTCTTCTGGACAGGAAGAGACAGCTGAACCGTGAGGTCACCACCCTCAGAAATACCTACGAGAGTCTGATGGCCCGCTTCCCTAACCTACGCTTCGACTACAAGTACGCCGTGTCTGTTAGTCATTTAGCAGACACTCTTATTCAGAGAGACGTACAGTTAGTGCATTCATCTTCAGATAGCTAGGTGGGACCACCACATATCTCAGTTAGGGCATTCATCTTCAGATAGCTAGGTGGGACAACCACATATCTCAGTTAGTGCATTCATCTTCAGATAGCTAGGTGGGACCACCACATATCTCAGTTAGTGCATTCATCTTCAGATAGCTAGGTGGGACAACCACATATCTCAGTTAGTGCATTCATCTTCAGATAGCTAGGTGGGACCACCACATATCTCAGTTAGTGCATTCATCTTCAGATAGCTAGGTGGGACAACCACACATCTCAGTTAGTGCATTCATCTTCAGATAGCTAGGTGGGACAACCACATATCTCAGTTAGGGCATTCATCTTCAGATAGCTAGGTGGGACAACCACACATCTCAGTTAGTGCATTCATCTTCAGATAGCTAGGTGGGACCACCACATATCTCAGTTAGTGCATTCATCTTCAGATAGCTAGGTGGGACAACCACACATCTCAGTTAGTGCATTCATCTTCAGATAGCTAGGTGGGACAACCACATATCACAGTCATAGTAAGTACATGTTTCCTCTAAAGTAGTTATCAGCTCCGTGCTAGTAGGAAAAGATAAGTACAGGTATTTAATTTGTATGTTTCTCTCTCTCTCTGTCTCTCTCTGTATCTCTCTCTGTCTCTCTCTGTATCTCTCTGTATCTCTCTCTGTCTCTCTCTGTAACTATCTCTGTCTCTCTCTGTCTCTCTCTGTATCTCTCTTTGTCTCTCTCTGTATCTCTCTCTGTCTCTCTGTATCTCTCTCTGTCTCTCTTCTGTGTCTCTCTCTGTCTCTCTCTGTATCTCTCTCTGTATCTCTCTCTGTTATCTCTCTGTCTTCTCTCTGTCTCTCGCTGGATCTCTTCTGTATCTATCTCTGTCTGCACTGTTCTATTCTCTGTCTCTATGTATCTCTCTGTTATCTCTCTCGGTCTCTCTGTATCTCTCTCTGTCTCTCTCTTGTCTCTCTTGTATACTCTCTCTGTTCTTCTCTCTGTATCTCTCTCTGTCTATCTCGGTCTCTTCTGTATATCTCTCTGTCTCTCTCTGTCTCTCTCTGTATCTCTCTTCTGTCTCCTCTGTCCTTCTGTCTCTCTTCTGTATCTATTCTGTTGTTTATCTCTCTCTGTACTCTCTCGTATCTTTTCGCTGATCTCTCTCTGTCCTTCTGTCTGCTCTCTGTCTGGGACAACCAACATATCACATCATAGTAAGTACATGTTTCTCCTAAAGTAGTTGTTATCAGCTCCGTGCTAGTAGGAAAAGATAAGTACAGGTATTAATTTGTATGTTTCTCTCTCTCGCTGTCTCTCTCTGTATCTCTCTCTGTATCTCTCTGGTCTCTCTGTATCTCTCTCTGTGCTCTCTCGTATCTTCTCTGTTCTCTCGTATCTCTCTCTGATCTCTCGGTATCTATCTCTGTCTCTCTGTAATCTCGCTCTGTATTCTATGGTATCTCTCTCGTCTCTCTCTGTATCTCTCTCTGTATCTCTCTCTGTCCTTCTGTATCTATCTCTGTACCTCTGTAACTCTCTGTCTCTCTCTGTATCTCTCCTCTGTCTTCTCTGGATTTTTCTCTCTCTTGTTCTCTTTTTATCTCTCTCTGTCTCTATGTAGCTCTCTCTCTCTCCTGTCTCTCGCTGTATCTCTCGGGTTCTCTCTTATTCTCTCTGTATCGCTTCTGTCTCTCTCTGTCGTCTCTGTTAATCTCTCTCTGTCTCTCTCTGTCTTCCTCTGACTCTCGTCTCTCTCTGTATCATCTCTGCTCCTCGTAATCTCTCTCTGTCTCTCTACTGTATCTATCTCTGTCTCTCCTTCTTGTATCTCTCTCTGGTGTCTATCTCTCTGTATCTCTCTCTGTCATCTCTCTGTATATCTTATGTAGCTATCTATGTTCTCTCTCTGTATCTCTTCTGGTCATCTCTCTGTAATCTCGCTCTGCTCTCTCTGTATCTCTCTCTGTCTCTATCTGTATCTCTCTCTGTCTCTTCTCTGTATCTCTCTCTGTCCTACTCTATGTCTACTATGTAATCTCTCTCTGTCGCTCTCTCTGTCTCTCTCTGTCTCTCCACTCTCTCTCTCTCTCTCTCTCTGATAACTCTCTCTTCTCTCTATCCTCTGTCTCTCTCTGTCTCTATTTCCCTTCCCCAGAGGGACCCCAGAGAGTGGAGTGCTGGTCGGGACCGTTTATAGCAGAGTAAAGGGGACTCCTAGCTAACCTGAAACAGTCCGTGATGTGTCCTTACTTACTGAGACTAGAGGTGGTGGCTGGGGCAAACTCACAGTAGTGGTGGACACTGAGGTTAGTGTCCAACAGGTCTCTGGAATCCATCACTGCAGAAAGACTTGAGTATTAAGGCTAACCGTGAGGGCTTTCACTGGAAGAGAGAAGATTGTGTTTGTCATGGACAATTAGTTTCTTGGTCAGGAGCCTTGTAGTTCCTGGTTCTGTACTGGAATGTTGAACGGAGGAGAGGCTAGCTCCATAACTCTCTGTATCTCTCTGTGGGTCTCTCTCTCTGTGTGTCTCTCTCTCTGTGTGTGTGTCTCTATCTATCTCTTCTTGGTGTGTCTCCCTCTCTCTCTCTATCTCTCTCTCTCTTCTGTGTTTGTGTCTCTCCCTCTTCTGTGTGTGTTTGGGTCTCTCTCTCTCTCTGTGTGGGTCTCTTCTCTCTCTCTCTCTGGTGTGTCTCTCTCTCTCTCTCTCTGTGTGTTTTTGTCTCTCTCTCTCTCTCTCTATGTTTGCCTCTCTCTGGTCTCTCTCTCTTCCCCCTCTCGCTCTCTGTGTCTCTCTCTGTTGTCTCTCTCTGTTCTCTCTGTCTCTGTGTTGTTGTTTTGGTTGTCTCTCTTGTCTCCTCTCTCTCTCTCTCTCTGTGTGTGTGGCTCTCTTGTCTCTCTCTCTCTCTCTCTCTGTTGTGTTGTATCTCGCTCTCTCTCTCTGTCTTCTCTTTCGCTGGTGTGTGTGTTGGGGTTCTCTCTAGGTGACAGGGGTAAGGTATAAGAAGTTGTTAGAGAAAAGGAGAGCTGAAGGTAGATACACCATCATCCCTCTCAACAGATCTTGCCAGGAACCTAATGACAGTGTGGTCAAACGCCAAGAGGATGGTGAGATATAACATACACTGAGACAGAAGACATACCCCTCCCACCCACCCCCCCACCCCTGAAAAAAAGACAAACCAAAAAAACAAAAAAAAAAAAAGCGAAACAAAGAAAAACAAAAAAAAAAAAAAAAACAATACGGAAAAAAAGAAAAAAAAAAACGGAAAAAATAAAAAAAAAAAATAAAAAAAAACAAAAAGGAAAAAAAAAAAAAAAAAAAAACAGGAAAAAAAACAAAAAAAAAAAAAAAAAAAAAAAAAAAAGGAAAAAAAAACAAAAAAAAAAAACAAAAGGCGAAGAAACAAAAAAAAAAAAAAAAAGAAAAAACCAACCTACACCCCTACCACAAACCCCCCAACCTTACACCCTCACACCCACCCACACCTAAGTAACCACCCCCCCACCCAACCCAACCCTTTACACCCCTCCCACACACACACCCACCACACCTTACACCCTCCCACACTCCACCAGATCTCTGCCAGACTTTCTCGCAGACTTCTCAATACCAACTTTGGTGGTTTGGTTACGAAGCCCCCCTCCCTCTCCTCCCTCCATCTCCAGGTAGGGGAGAGAATGGAGGGAGGAGGGAGAAAAACGTCCATAAGCTCTGCTCTGGTTGGATATGAGGCAGACCTGAGGAAGGACATGGAGGAGTCTGTGTTTGGTTCTACGTTGGTATGTGACAATTGGAACAACGCAAGCAGGGGCTTAGACAAGAGAGTCATGACCCAAAACTGTTACTCTGGGGGGGAGGGGGAGACGTCTTCGATCCTCAGGGGGACACTGAGCGGAGGTGAGGCACAACGGACTGAAACACCTCTAGATATGATAGGATGATGATGATGACCGTCGCTGCTGCTTCATTTATCTCCTCCTCTCCTCTCCTCTCCTCTCCGCTCGTCTCTCCACTCTCTAGGAGTCAGTCTGTCTCTGTGTTGTCCAGTCTTATGGTTGTGTGTCTCTCTCCCTCTGGGTCAGTCTGTCTCTGTGTTGCCAGTTAAGGTTTGTGGGTCTCTCTCTCTCTCTAGGAGTTAGTCTGTCTCTGTGTTGTCCAGTCTTAAGGTTGTGTCTCTCTCCCTCTAGGAGTCAGTCTGTCTCTGTGTTGTCCAGTCTTATGGTTGTGTGTCTCTCTCTCTCTCTCTAGGAGTCAGTCTGTCGCTGTGTTGTCCAGTCTTAAGGTTGTGTGTCTCTCTCTCTCTAGGAGTCAGTCTGTCTCTGTGTTGTCCAGTCTTAAGGTTGTGTGTCTCTCTCTCTAGGAGTCAGTCTGTCTCTGTGTTGTCCAGTCTTAAGGTTGTGTGTCTCTCTCCCTCTAGGAGTCTGTCTCTCTATGTGTTGTTCCAGGCTTAAGGTGTGTGTCTCTCTCTCTAGGAGTCAGTTCTGTCTAGTGTGTTGTCCAGTCAGTATAAGGTTGTGTGTCTCCTCCTCTAGGAGTCCATGTCTGTCTCTGTGTTGTCCAGTCCTTAAGGTTGTGTGTTGTCCTCTCTCTCTAGGAGTCAGTCCTGTCTCTGGTTGTCCAGTCTTTAAGGTGTGTGTCTCCTCTCTCGAGTCAGTATGTCTCGGTTGTCAGGTTCTTAATTTTTGCCCTGTGTCTCTCCCTCTAGGAGTCAGTCTGTCTCTGTGTTGTCCAGTCTTAAGGTTGTGTGTCTCTCTCTAGGAGTCAGTCTGTGTTGTCCAGTCTTATGGTTGTGTGTCTCTCTCCCTCTAGGAGTCAGTCTGTCTCTGTGTTGTCCAGTCTTAAGGTTGTGGTCTCTCTCTCTCTAGGAGTCAGTCTGTCTCTGTGTTGTCCAGTCTTAAGGTTGTGTGTCTCTCCCTCTAGGAGTCAGTCTGTCTCTGTGTTGTCCAGTCTTAAGGTTGTGTGTATCTCTCTAGGAGTCAGTCTGTGTTGTCCAGTCTTATGGTTGTGTGTCTCCCTCCCTCTAGGAGTCAGTCTGTCTCTGTGTTGTCCAGTCTTAAGGTTGTGTCTCTCTCTCTCCCTAGGAGTCAGTCTGTCTCTGTGTTGTCCAGTCTTATGGTTGTGTGTCTCTCTCCCTCTAGGAGTCAGTCTGTCTCTGTGTTGTCCAGTCTTAAGGTTGTGTGTCTCTCTCTCTCTCTAGGAGTTAGTCTGTCTCTGGTGTCCAGTCTTAAGGTTGTGTGTCTAATCTCCCTCAGGAGTCAAGTTGTCTCTGTGTTGTCCGTCTTAAGGTTGTGTGTCTCTCTCCCTATAGGAAGTCAAGTCTGTCTTGTGTTGCCAGTCTTAAGGTTGTGTGTTCTCTCTCCGGCGTCAGTCTGTCTCTGTGTGTCAGTCTTAAAGGTTGTGTGTCTTCTCTCTAGGAGTCAGTCTGTCTCTGTGTGTCCAGTCCTTAGGTTGGGTTTCTCTCTCCCTATAGGAGTCGTCTGGCTCTGTGTTGTTCCAGTATTAAGGTTGTGTGTCTCCCTCGCTAGGCGTCAGTCTGATTGTGTTGTCCGTTCTTAAGGGTGGGGTTCTCTCTCTTCTCTAGGAGTCAGTCTGTTCTTGTGTGGTCCAGTCTTTGGTTTGTTGTCAGGCTCTCTCTTTCTAGGAGTCAGTCTGTCCGTGTTTGTCAATTCTTAGGTTGTGTTCTCTCCCTCTAGGAGTCAGTCTGTCTCTGATGTGTCCAGTCTTAAGGTGTTGTTGTCTCTCTCCCTCTAGGAGTCAGTCTGTCTCTGTGTTGTCCAGTACTTAAGGTTGTGGGTCTCTCTATAGGAGTCAGTATGTCTCTGTGTTGTACAGTCGTAGGTTGTGTGTCTACTCTCTCTAGGAGTCAGTCAGTCTTGTGTTTTTTTTGTGTTCTTTTTTGTTTTTTTTAATTTTTTTTTTTTTTTTTTTTTTGTCCCAGTCTTAAGGGTTGTGTGTCTCTCTCCCTCTAGGAGTCAGTCTTCTGTCTCTGTGTGTCCAGTTCTTAAGGTTTGGTGTCTCCTCTCTGGATCAGTCTGTGTGTCAGTCTTATGGTTGTGTGTCTTCTCACTCTAGGAGTCAAGTCTGTTATCTGTGTTGTCCAGTCTTAAGGTTGTGTGTCTCTTCTTCTCAGGAGTCAGTCTGTCCTGTGTTGTCAAGTCTTTAAGTTTGTGTGTCTCTCTCTCTCTAGGAGTCCGTCTGCCTGTGTTGTTCCGTCGTAAGGTTGTGTGTCTCTATCTTAGGAGTAGTCTGTCTCTGTGTTGTCCAAGCTTATGGCTGTGTGTCTCCCTCCCTCTGGAGGTAAGTCTGTCTCTGTGTTGTCCAGGCTTAAGGTTTTGTGTGTCTCTCTCTCTCTAGAGTCAGTCTGTCTCGGATGTTGTCCAAGTCTTAAGGTTGTGTGTCTCCACTCCCTCTAGGAGTCAGTCTGTCTCGTGTTGTCCATTCTTAAGGTTGTGTTATCTCGCTCCTCTAGGAGTCGTCTGTCTCTGTGTTGTCCAGTCTAAGGTGTGTCTTTCTCCCTCAAGGAGTCAGTCGTCTCGGTGTTGCAGGCTTAGTATTATGGTTGGGGTCTCTCTATAGGAGTCAGTCTGTCTCTTGTTGTCCAGTCTCAGGTTGTGTGTCTCTCTCTCTATAGGAGTCAGTCTGTCTCTGTGTTGTCCCAGTCTTAGTGTTGTATCTCTCTCTCTCTCCTCTAGGAGTCAGTCGTCTCTGTGTTGTCAGTCGTAAGGTTGTGTGTCTCCCTCCACTAGGAGGTCCAGTCTGTCTCTGTGTGGTCCAGTCTTAAGGTTGTTGTTGTCTCTCGCTCTCTCTCTGGAGTCGTCTGTCTTGTGTTGCCAGTCTGAAGGTGTGGTCTTCTCTCCCTCTAGGAGTCAGCTTCTCTGTGTTGTACAGTCTTAAGGTTGTGTCTCCCCTCTAGGAGTCGTCTGTCCTCTGTGTTGTCGTCTTAAGGTTCGTGTCTCTCTCCTTAGGAGTCAGTCTGTCTCTGTGTTGTCCAGTCTTAAGGTTGTGTGTCTCTCTCTCTAGGAGTCAGTCAGTCTGTGTTGTCCAGTCTTAAGGTTGTGTCTCTCTCTCCCTCTAGGAGTCAGTCTGTCTCTGTGTTGTCCAGTCTTAAGGTTGTGTCTCTCTCTCCCTCTAGGAGTCAGTCTGTCTCTGTGTTGTCCAGTCTTAAGGTTGTGTGTCTCTCTCTCTCTAGGAGTCAGTGCAGTCGTTGTTGTCAGTCTTATTGTGTCTCTACTCCCTCTAGGAGTCAGTCTGTTCTCTGGTGTTGTCCAGTCTTAAGGTTTGTGTGTGTCTCTCTCTCTAGGAGTCAGTCTGTCTCTGTGTTGTCCAGTGTTAAGGTTGTGTGTCTCTCTCCCTCTAGGAGTCAGTCTGTCTCTGTGTTGTCCAGTCTTATGGTTGTGTGTCTCTCTCTCCCTCTAGGAGTCAGTATGTCTCTGTGTTGTCCAGTCTTAAGGTTGTGTGTCTCTCCCTCTAGGAGTAAGCTGTCTCTGTGTTGTCCAGTCCTTAAAGTTGTGTTGTCTCTCTCCCTTAGGAGTCAGGCTGTCTCTGTGTTGCCCGTCTTAAGGTTGTGTGTCTCTCTCTCTCTCTAGGAGTCAGTCTGTCTCTGTGTTGTCCAGTCTTAAGGTTGTGTGTCTCTCTCTCTCTGTAGGAGTCAGTCTGTCTCTGTGTTGTCCAGTCTTAGGTTGTGTGTCTCTCTCTAGGAGTCAGTCTGTGTTGTCCAGTCTTATGGTTGTGTGTCTCTCTCCCTCTAGGAGTCAGTCTGTCTCTGTGTTGTCCAGTCTTAAGGTTGTGTGTCTCTCTCTCTCTAGGAGTCAGTCTGTCTCTGTGTTGTCCAGTATAAGTTGGTGTCTCTCCTAGGAGTCAGTATGTGTTGTCAGTCTTATGGTTGGGTTCTCCCTCCCTAGGAAGTCAGTCTTTTGTCTCTGTGTTGTACAGTATTAAGGGGCTGTCTATCTCTCTCTAGAGTCAGGTATGTTATCTGTGTTTGTTACAGCTTAAGGTTGTGTGTCTAAATCCAATCTAGGAGTAAGATGTATCGTGTTTGTAAAGGTCTTAAGGTTGTTGTGTCTCTCTCTCTCTAGAAGGTAGTCTTTGTCTCTGTGTGTTAAGTCTTAAGGTTGTGTCTTTCTCCTCTAGGAGTCAGTCTGTTCTATGTGTTGCCAGTCTTATGGTTGGTGTGTCTCTCCCTCTAGGAGTCAGTCCAGTCTGTGTTGGCCAGTCTTTAAGGTGGTTGCGTCTCTCTCTCTCTGGAGTCAGTCTGTTCTTGGTTGTCCAGTCTTAAGGTGTGTGTCTCTCTCTCTCTATCTAGGGTCAGTATTGTCTCTGTGTGGTAAAGTCTGAAGGGTTTGTGTGTCTCCCTCACATCTAGGAGTTCAGTATGTCTCTGTGTTTGTCCAGTCGTAAGGTTGTGTCTATCTATCTCTCTAGGAGTCAGTCTGGTCCTCTGTGTTGTCCAAGTCTTAAGGTTGTGTTGTGTCTCTCTTCTCCTTAGGAGTCCAGTTGTTCTCTGTGTTGTCCAGTTCTTAAGGTTGTGTGTCTCTCCATCTAGGAGTCAGTCTGGTCTATGTGTTGGTCCAGTCTTAAGGTTGTGTCTCTCTCCTATAGGAGTCAGTCTGGCTCTGTGTTGCCAGTCTTTGGTTGTGTGTATCTCTCTCTCTAGGAGTCAGTCAGGCTCTGTGTTGTCCAGTCTTAAGGTTGTGTGTCTCTCCCTCTAGGAGTCAGTCTGTCTCTGTGTTGTCCAGTCTTAAGGTTGTGTGTCTCTCTCTCTCTAGGAGTCAGTCTGTCTCTGTGTTGTCCAATTATTAAGGTTTGTGTATCTCTCTCCCTCTGGAGTCAGTCATGTATCTGTGTATGTCCAGTCTTAAGTTGTGTGTATCTCCCCCTCAGGAGTCAGTCGTCTCGTGTGTCCAGTTCTTATGGTTTGTTGTTGTATCTTCTCCCTCTAGGAGTCCAGTCTGTCTCTGTGTTGTCCAGTCTTAAGGTTGTTGTTGTATCTAGCCCTCTCGGAGTCAGTTCTGGCTATGTGTTGTCCAGTCTAGGTTGTTTTGTCTCTCTCTCTCTCTAGGAGTCAGTCTGTCTCTGTGTTGTCCAGTCTTAAGGTTGTGTGTCTCTCCTCTCTCTAGGAGTCAGTCTGTCTCTGTGTTGTCCAGTCTTAAGGTTGTGTGTCTCTCTCTCTCTGTAGGAGTCAGTCTGTCTCTGTGTTGTCCAGTCTTAAGGTTGTGTGTCTCTCTCCCTCTAGGAGACAGTCTGTGTTGTCCAGTCTTAAGGTTGTGTGTCTCTCTCTCTCTCTAGGAGTTCAGTCTCTCTGTGTTGTCCAAGTCTTAAGGGGTTGGTTGTTGTCTCTCTCCTCTCTCTCTCTGGAGTCATCAGTCGTCTCTGTGTTGTCCAGTTTAAGGTGTGTTTTGTCTCTCTCTCTCTAGGCAAGGAGGTCAGTTGTTCTGTGTTGTCCAGTCTTAAGGTTGTTGTGTCTCTCCCCTCTAGGAGTCTGTCTTCTGTGTTGTCCAGTCTTAAGGTGTGTGTGTGTCTATCTCTCTAGGAGTCGTCGGCTCTGTGTTGTCCACAGTCTTAAGGTTGGGTGTCTCTCACCTCTAGGAAGTCTGTCTCTCTGGTTGATCCAGGTTTAAGGTTGTGGTCTCTCTCTCTAGGAGTGCCACAGTCTGCTCGTGTGTACAGTCTTAAGGTTGTTGTCTCTCTCTCTAGGAGTCAGTCTGTCTCTGTTTGTACCAGTCTTAGGTGGTTGTTTGTTACTCTAGATCACTTAGAGTCTTTGTCTCGCGGGGTTTTGGCAAGTATTAGAGGTTGTTGTGTCTCTCTCTCTAGAGCCCAGTCTGTCTCTGTGTTGTCCAGTCTTAAGGTTGTGTCTCTCTCTCTCTAGGAGTCAGTCGGGGAGAGGGGGGGTAGGAAGGATAGAGTGGAGTGGGTGTAGAAAAGGCTAAGGGCGAGAGAAGGGACGGGGTAGTGTACTGGCATAAATGAGGAGACGGGAACAATGTGAAGACACAGAAGGGGGAGGAAAGGATAAAAAGGAGCGGAGAGAGGTGAAGGGACACGATGGAAGGAACAGAGAACAGGGAAAGATAAGATAATTAAGCGAAAGAATCTGGGGTGGGAAAAAAAGAAATGTCTGGTCGGAAGGGGGACCGCTGGCTGTGAAGGTGGGGACCTGAAACATTTACTACGCAGATTTGGAGTGTAAGCTAAATAATATGTAGTACAATTGATATAGAGGATTAATCTACTAGAGAAAGAGCGAGAAAAAGAAGAGAAGAGAGAAAAAAAAGAAAGAAGAGAGAGGCCACACAACCCTACCTCCCTCTACCCACCCCCTCCTCCTCCTCTCTCCCCCCCCTCCCTCCTCTCTCTCTCTCTAGGTATCGTTTGTTAAAGCAACAGTTAGACATGAAGACAGAAGAGTTAGATATTCTCCAGGCTAAACTCCAACAGAGCTCCTTCCATAAGCAACAGGAGGAGCTGGAGATGCTGCGCAGGACCATCGGTGAGTCCACGTACAACATTTTCATAGAGCAACATATTTCGTAAGATGGGACAGGCCTTGAACCAAAGAGTTTGGAACTATTTACTTTCAATTCTCATCACCTTCTTGTCATGGACATCGACAGGTGGTTTTCCCACCGCATGTTTTAAATGATTTAAACGATGTATTGTTTTGCACATTCCACGTGTTTAGTGGGCAGGAAATATGATAACTTGGCAACTTAAACGTTTGTTTTCAGTGCACTTTGAAACATTGTACTTTGTTAAACGCTAGATCAGGGTTCTTCAATTCCGGTCCTGGAGGGCCGAAACACACTTCTGTTTTTTACTTCTACCTGGTAGTTAATTGCACTCACCTGGTGTCCCAGGTCTGAATTAGCCCCTGATTAGAAGGAGAGGATGAAAAACAGAGGTGTTTCGGCCCTCCAGGACCGGAATTGAAGAACCCTGCTCTATAGACATTGGAAAGGAGCGTCAAGCTCATCACCTTTCACTTTCACCACCCTGTGATGTTCATCTTAACTTATCTCTAATGAACTGCATGCTTTCCCGAGTCGTAGTGGAAGGGAGCACACTCCATGTCATAGCGTGACTCCATGTTTAGTTTGATATGATGGTTATTATGTTTATTTATTAGCCTGGATCAATATTTGCACACACATGCGTTTCCAACTCCATTTCTTGCATAATTAATTTTACCAACACAAAAAGATCCCACCATGTCGATACGAACAAATTATCTGTCGGCATTTAGAAAACTGTACCGAAACTTCCTGTTTCCATCACAGCTGTCGTGATTTTTTTTAAAATACGGTATGACTTTACTCGCATAAAAACTGTGGCTGAAAACGTGTGTGTGTGTGTGTGTCTGTCTGTGTGTGTGTGTCTGTGTGTGTGTGTGTGTGTCTGTGTGTGTGTGTGTCTGTGTGTGTGTGTCTGTGTGTGTGTGTGTCTGTGTGTGTGTGTGTGTGTGTGTGTGTCTGTCTATCTGTGTGTCTGTGTGTGTGTGTGTGTGTGTGTCTGTCTATCTGTCTGTCTGTGTGTGTCTGTGTGTGTCTGTGTGTGTCTGTGTGTGTGTGTGTCTGTCTGTGTGTGTGTGTGTGTGTGTGTGTGTGTCTCAGAGGAGTGTGAGGAGACCCTGCGCAGCAGTAAGGAGGTCCAGAAGAAGGCAGAGGAGAAGTACAAGGTAAGATCACATCATGACTTATTATCCCCATGGGTCATATCTGGACCTACCCGTGGTCTTCATTCAGGATCACGTCATGGGTCATATCTGGACCTACCCGGGGTCTTCATTCAGGATCACATCATGACTTATTATCCCCATGGGTAATATCTGGACCTACCCGGGGTCTTCATTCAGGATCACGTCGTGACTTTAATGTCATGGGTCATATCTGGAAATCCTCCAACTAGGATTTTTTGGAAAAGCTACCAGAATTTTGAACTCTACCCTGGGATAATATATGCCATTTAGCATTTAGCATTTTTTTTACAGGGTTTAATTCGGGTTAAGTACCTTGCTCAAGGGCACATCGACAGATTTTATTTTACCTTGTTGGCTCGGGTATTTGAACCGGCGTCCTTTCGGTTATTTGCCCAATGCTCTTAAGCACTAGGCTACCTGGCGCCCATATAAAGCTACTTTTAGTCATCCGTTCATAGATTCTTTTTTTACATATGGATGGTCTCGGGAACGGAACCCACTATCCTGGCTTTGTTGATATTGTGTTGTTAAACCTTGACTTGACCACCAGGTGTTGGAGAACAAGATGAAGAATGCGGAGGCGGAGAGAGAGAAGGAACTGAAAGCTGCTCAACAGAAACTAAACTCCGCTAAAACCAAGGCTGATGCGTTCAGTAAGAAACTCAAGGAGAGACAACAGGTGGAGTCAGACGTTCACTCTCTCACGCATACATAAACACATTTTGAATTCTGTGCCAACTGGCCCCCAAAACCAAAGACACCAGCACAGTAACCTGGTTACATTATCCCAGCAATAACCTGGTTTCGTTATTCCAGCAATAACCTGGTTTCGTTATCCCAGCAATAACCTGGTTTCGTTATTCCAGCAATAACCTGGTTACATTATCCCAGCAATAACCTGGTTTCGTTATTCCAGCAATAACCTGGTTACATTATCCCAGCAATAACCTGGTTTCGTTATTCCAGCAATAACCTGGTTACATTATCCCAGCAATAACCTGGTTTCGTTATTCCAGCAATAACCTGGTTACATTATCCCAGCAATAACCTGGTTACATTATCCCAGAAATAACCTGGTTACATTATCCCAGCAATAACCTGGTTACATTATCCCAGCAATAACCCGGTTACATTATCCCAGCAATAACCCGGTTACATTATCCCAGCAATAACCCGGTACATTATCCCAGCAATAACCCGGTTACATTATCCCAGCAATAACCCGGTTACGTTATCCCAGCAATAACCCGGTTACATTATCCCATGACAAAACAGTATGGTTCACTTTCCCAAAAATTTAACCCGGTTACATTATCCCCAGCAATAACCCGGTTACTTATCCAGCATATCCAGTTACGTTTGATGTGCATAACCGTGTGTGTGGTGTGGTGTTTATAGGAGGCTGAGTCCCTGGTCCTAGAGTTGGAGGAGTTGAAGAGAGAGCAGGCTGGCTATGAACAACAGATACTGGCAGTACATGATAGCCATGAAGTCTATCCAGGAACAGATAGACAACATGTCTACCACCGTGGCACAGAACAAGGTTGGTCATTTGTTACATAACGTTAGACCATGTGTAGTGCTGTGTTTGAAATGTCCTTGATGTAATCAATACCTGACCCTATGTTTGACGTATCAATAGCCTGGCCCGAGTGTTTGACGTAATCAATAGCCTGACCCGAGTGTTTGACGTAATCAATAGCCTGGCCCGAGTGTTTGACGTAATCAATAGCCTGACCCGAGTGTTTGACGTAATCAATAGCCTGGCCCGAGTGTTTGACGTAATCGATAGCCTGACCCGAGTGTTTGACGTAATCAATAACCTGGCCCGAGTGTTTGACGTAATCAATAACCTGACCCGAGTGTTTGACTTAATCAATAGCCTGGCCCGAGTGTTTGACGTAATCAATAACCTGACCCGAGTGTTTGACTTAATCAATAGCCTGGCCCGAGTGTTTGACGTAATCAATAGCCTGACCCGAGTGTTGGTGTAATCCCTCTCTCCCCTCCTCCCCCCTTCATTCTCTCTCTCCTTCCTCAATCTCCCTCCCTCCTTTCTCCTCCTCCCCTCCTCTCTCCAGGAGTCGGTGCGTAAAGCCCAGGAGGAGTTGACTAGACAGAAAGAGGTGATCGTAGCTCAGGACAAAGAGATCAAGGTAAGTTTGACTACATTATTATCAATAGTACTGATGGTGTTATTACCATGTTGCTCATTATCATTATAATAATGTTGTCGTTGAAACCGTCTCGGAAACTCAGAACTAAAATCCTTCATAATTGCATCAGATGCTGGATTAAGTTCTGGTGGAGCTGTAGGAGAAATATACTAAGGAGATGAAGTCTCCACCCCCCCCCCTAAACGGAAACTCTCTGCAAGTTGATAGACCAGATGTCCCCTCTCCTTCCCAAGTTCAAAAAGTGGGAGCACCTGCAAAGTCGTGATTTGTCCAAATGATCAGTGATGAAAAGTCTGTACCTGAATAAAGTTCCTTGTTAGTGGACTCATTATGCACATAGAAACATAGGAAAAGGTGCCAACTCCATGGCACACTAAAGATAGTTTCAGAACCGCAGACAACGACCACTATTACAACGCAGGAGAAAGTGCATTTGTTATAAAATAATATTACCATATACTATTTCAGTAGCACATGCCTTAGAGTGATGGACTGTGCCATCCCCACGGCCTCCACAATGGTTCAGTCCACTCAGACAGGAGCCAATCAGACAGGTGTCCCCACGGCCTCCACAATGGATCAGTCCACTCAGACAGGAGCCAATCAGACAGGTTGTCCCCACGGCCTCCACAATGGATCAGTCCACTCAGACAGGAGCCAATCAGACGGGTGTCTTGTGCCCCATAATCTTTTTTAAATACATTTGCGACTGCTAAACTAAATAAATCTCTGTCAACCAACAGCCTATTGACCAAACAATCAACCGGTCGACTAAATGGGATCAGTCCTAGTTGTCACTCAACTAATAAAGCCTAATATTGTGCAAGCCATTTTACAAGCATTTGAATGCTGAAAGTGCGCGCAGATGTGCAAGAGAATATGCCTTTACTGCTCGTTCAGCGTGCAAAACTATTGATCTTGTTGTTCGGCATGAAATGACTTCAATGACTGTCAGCGCCGATTCATGCTCAGTCCGACACTGAAGGAGAGGACGCATCGGTTGTCACAAAAGATGAGAGGTGTTTTCAGAAGATAGAAAGTAATTTATGCAAAAAAAATGTTTGAACCATTCTTAACGTTTTGAATGGATTTTCTGACCGGTGCGTGCTACATATGGATCGGTTTGGGGTCCTGCGGACCAACTGTATCTTAAACATTTGAATCGCAGGACCGATGGGTATTGGCGAATTGTTACATCCATAGTATCTACAACTGAATTAAACGGTATCCTACACCCAACATTTTTTTAGATTTTTTCCCCCCAGACCTCAAGTAGTCTCCTGATGTGGTTTTAAACATTGTTGTGGACTTAAAAGTGTGATTTTGAGTGAAAACATGAAGAACAAAAAACTGAAACCTGGAAAAACAAAATGGAGGAAATGTTCTAGGTCCCTAGAGACGCCACGATACCAGTCGTTATGTGCATCTGTCCATGAGAGATTATTGTAGCCTCTTAGCCATTTTCTAAAAATATCTCATTTCTACCAACTCTTATGAGCTACTTTGACAATATAATTTCATGTTCCATGCCAACAAAGCGTGTGTGTGGTGTCTGTGTGTGTGTGTGTATTCCAGGGTAAGAGTACAGAAGCCAACCATATGAGAGAGAAAACCAATGAGTCTCAGCTGAAGATTAAAGAGTTGGAACACAACATCAGTAAACACCGTAAAGACAGTCAGGACGCTGCTGCCAAGGTACATTTTACTGATCAACCCTTCTTTCTCATCTCTTTATTTTGTTCACATTCTCTCCGTCTGTTTCTCTCTTTAATGTCTCTTCAGAAGAGATCACTAAATCAGAGCATGAAATGGGATCTAGTCTTCTGAGTGAGCTTCTTCCTTCTGTTAGGGGAACATGAGAGAGAGAGGCATGTTCTGCTAGCCAGACTAACATCTCTCTCATCCCTCTCTCTTACCCACCCCCCCCCACCCACCCCCCTTTTTTCCCCTTCCCCTCCACACCCCCCCCCCCCCAACACCCCCCCCCACCTTTAAACCCCCCCAAACCCCCAAACATCCCCAAAAAACCCCCCCCCCCCCAAAAACCCACCCCCAAAAAAACCCCCCCCCCCCCAAAAAAAAAACCCCCAAAAAAAAACCCCCCCCCCCAAAAAAAAAAAACTCCCCCCCCCCCCCCCCCCCCCCCCCCCTTTCCATTCTTTTCCCCCCCCTCCCCCCCTCTCTCTCCCTTCCCCCCCCCCCCCCCTTTTTTCTTTTCCCCCCCCTTTCCCCCCCCCTCCCCCCCCCCTGGCTCTCTCCCCCTCCCCCCCCTTCTCTCCTCCTCCCCCCCCCCCTCCCCCCCTCTTCTCCTCCCCCCTCCCCCCCCCCCTCTCTCTCCCCCCTCCCCCCCTCTCTCTCCCCCCTCCCCCCCCCTCCCCCCCCCTCCCCCCCCCTTTTTCTCTCCCCCTCCCCCCCCGCTCTCTCCCCCCCCTCCCCCCCCCCCCCCTCTCCCCCCCCCCCCCCCTCTCTCTCTCCCCCCCCTCCCCCCCCAACCCCTCTAATCTCCCCCCCCCCCCTCTCTCTCCCCCCCACCCCCCCCCCTCTCCTCCTCCCCCCCCCCCTCCCCCCCCCTTTTTCCTCCCCCCCTTTTCTCTCCCCTCTCCCCCCCCTCCCTCTTCCCCCCCTCCCTCTCTCCTTCCCCCCCTCCTCTTTCCTCCCCTTCCCCCCTTTTATTCTTTTGTTTAAACCCCCTTAACCCTCCCTTTCTCCCCCCCTCCGTTCTACCCCCCCCAAAGGGGGCCCCCCCTTTTTCCAAAGGCCCCCCAAACCCTTCCCAAAGGTTTGATCTTTTTGTTGGGGAACTGGGGGAAGTGGAGAGGGGCCCCTTTCGGGAAATAAGGGTTAAACTTTCAATGAAACCCTAAAGGGAGGCGGGAGAGGTGGGGAAGGGGGGGGAGAAAAAGGGGTGGAGGGGGACTCTGTCAAAAAAGGAGCCTTTAACAGCTGGGGTTCAAGCGGGAGGAGGGGGTGAGGGGGGGATGGAGGGGGGAGAGAGGGTGGAGGAAATCTGTCCCAAAGGGGTGAACATGGAGTCAACCCTGAGGGAGGGTTTGAGTAAGGGAGGGAGAGGGGAGGGTGGGGGAGGATTGCCCAAAAATGACCATAAAATGCTGAGTCAACTTAGAGGGGGTGAGGGAGGGAGGGAGGAAAAGGGGGTTTGGGGGAAATATCTGGTCAACAAGAGAGCCATGAACTTCTGAGCCCAAGCGAGGGGGGTGATTTAAGGGAGGGGGGAGGGAGGAGGGGGAGGAAAAATTCTGCCCAAAAAAGGACCCATAAACTCCCTGAGTAAAGCTGGGGAAGGGTGAAAAGGGGAGGGAGGGAGGAGAGGGGGGGGAGGAGACTTCACACGAACCCCCTTTGCTGATTTAAAGCTGGGGAAAAGGGTGAGTAGGGGAAAGGGGGGGAGGGGAGGGGGGTGGGGGAAAGAGATCTTAAACAAAAAGACCCCTTTAACATGTTAGTAAAACTGGGAAGGGTGAGTAGAGGGAGGGGGGGGAAAAGGGGGGGGAGGAGGATCTGTCCCAAAAGACCTGCCCTCTGATTCAACTGAGGAGAGGGTGAGTAGAGGGAGGGAGGGAGGGGGGAGGAGAGATCTGTCAACAAGAACCCATAACATTGGGGGGGGTAAACTGGGGAGAGGGTGAGTAGCGGGGAGGGGAGGGGGGGGAGGGAGGGGAGTGGGGGGAAAATCTGTCACAAGAAGCCTGAACTGGGGGGTTAAAGCTGAGGAGGGGGTGAGTGGGTGAGGGGGGGAAAGAGGGGGGAGGAGAGATCTGTCAACAAGAGAGCCATGAAAAATGTTGAGCAAGCGGGAAAGAGGTGAGTAAAGGGGGGAGAGGGGGAAGGGAGGGAGGGAAAGAAGAGGGGGGGGAGAGTCTGTAAACCAAGAACCCCTTAAATGTTTGACCCACCTGGGGGATAGGGGGGGGTAAGGGGGGGGGAAGAGATCTGTCCCCAAAAAGGCCTTTAAACTTTCCTTGGTCACGGGGTTTTTGGGGTTTAGTAGGGGGAGGGAGGGTTTTGGGGTTGGGTTTTTTTTTGGGTTTTTTTATACTTTTTTCCAAAAAAGAGAGCCATGAACATGCTGAGTCAAGCTGAGGAGAGGTTTGGTAGAGGGGGAGGGAATTGAAAAAGGGGGAAAAGGGTAAAAGCGGGAAGGTTGGGGGGTTAAGGGGGGGGGGGGGGGGGTTGGAGGGGGAGATCTTTTCCAAAAAGGGGCCCCTGAACATGTTGATTTAAACCCTTGGGGAGGGGGTGATTAAGGGAGGGAGGGAGGGGAGAGGGGGAGGAGAAGGGTAAAGCTGAGGGGGGGTGAGTAAGGGGGGGAGAAGAGAAAAGGGTTTGGAGGAGAGACCCTTTTCAAAAAGGAGGCCCTGAAAAAAGGGTTGATCCACGGGTTGGGGGAAGGGGGGGAAATTTTTTTTTCAATTTTTTGGGAAGGGTTTATTTTTTTTTTTTGGGGAAATCTTTCCCTTTTTCCTCCCTTTTTTCCCCCCCCTTAATTTTTCCTTTTTTTAAAACCCCAGAGATTTAAACAATTCGTGCTTTGGAGGAGAGGGGTTTATTAAAGGGGAAGGGAGGGAGACCCGGGTAGGGGGAGGGGTCTGTCAACAAGGACCATAACCCTTTTTTTGGGGAAAAACTGAGGGGGGGGGGAAAAAAATTTTTTTAAACCTTTTTTTCTTCTCAACGTTTTTTTTTTGCCCCTTCGGTCTCTCTTTTTCGCCCCATTTTTCCCCTTTTTACCCCCTTTTGAAGGGGTTTGGGGGGTTTGGTTTTCCCCTTTTGGCTTTTTGGAATAAATTTTTTCCTCCTCTTTTTTGGGCCTTCAAAAAGGTTCGTGGGAATACAAGTCGAAACCCCCCCTTTTGAAAGGGGATTAAGAGGGAAGTGGCCCTTTAACCCCTTTTTTGCCTAAATTTCCCCTTCCCCCTGGATAAGGCCTGCTGGGAAGAAGGGCCCCGTTAAATACTTTCAAATCCCTGTTTCGGGTTTGGAAAAAGAAGGGGGCCCTCCTGCCGGGCAAAAGGTCTGCCCTCTGTCTGCGGGGCCAAAAGGGTCTGTCCTCTGGCCCTTTTTGTCTGGCAGAAGGTCGGCCCTTTTTGTCGTCTGGCAAAAAGGTTCGTCTCTTCCGTCGGGCAGAAGGTCGGGTCTCTGTCGGGCCTGGCAAAAGGTCTGTCTTTTGTCTTTTTGGCAAAAAGGTCTGTCTCTGTCGGGGCCGGGCAGAAGGTCTGTCTCTTCGCCTTCTGGCAAAAGGGTCCTTTTTCTCTGTCGCCTGGCAAAGGTCTGTCTCTGCCCTGTCTGGCAGAAGGTCGGGCTCTGTCTGCCTGGGAAGGTCTGCCCCTCTTTTCTGCTGGCAAAAAGGCCCTGTTTTCCTGCCCTGCCTGGCAAAAGGGCCCTTTCTCTTGTTTTGGCAAAGGTCTTCTTTTTTGTCTGCCCGGGCAAAGGTCTGTCCTGCCCCTGCCTGGCGAAGGTCTGTCTTTTTTCCCTTTGTCTGGCGGAAGGTCTGCCCTCTGTCTGCCCGGCAGAAAAGGTCCTTGGGTCTGCCTGGCAAAGGTTTTTCCTGGTCTGTCGGCAAAAGGGTTGGGTCCTGTCTGTCTGGAAGGTTGCCCCTTTTGGCGGGTCTGGCAAAAGGGGTTGTTCTGTTGCTGGCAAAAGGTTGTCTCTGTCTGTCTGGCAGAAGGTCTGTCTCTGTCTGCCTGGCAGAAGGTCTGTCTCTGTTTCCGGGGCAAAGGGTCTGTCTCTGTCTTTTCTGGCAAAGGGGTCGTCTCTGTCCTCCCCCTGGCAAATTTCCTGTCTCTGCCCTCCGGGCCCGAAGGTGTCTTTTGTCTGCCGGGCCAGGGTTTTGTCTCTGTCTGCCTGGCAAAGGTCTGCTCTGCTGCCTGGCAAAAGGCCCTGTCTTGTGTGTCCCGGGCAAAATTGCCCTCCGTCGGGAACTTTCTTCGTTGGGGAAAAGGCTGTCTTTGGCTTTTAACAAAGGGGCCCTTTGAACTGCCTCTTAAAAAATTGGGGTTAAAAAGGTTTTTTCTGTTTTTAATCCCCTACTTTTTGCCCCCCTCTGACCCAAAGCTAGACATTTTTCAAGGATTTTTTCCCCGGCGGCCAATTTTTTTGGGTTTTTAAAAAGGTTAAAACCCCCCAACCCTTTTTTTCCCCCTTTCTTCTCTCCTCCTCCCCCCCCCTTCCCCCTTTTTTCTTTTCCCCTCCTCTCCCCCTCTCCTTTTTTATTTGTCCCCTTCCCCTCCCTCTTCTTCTATTTTATCCCCCTTCCCCCTCCCCCCTATTTTTTCTCTCTCGTCCCCCCTCTTATTTTAATTCTCTCTCTTTTTTCTCCCTTTTCTTCCTTCCCCCTTTCTTTTCTCCCTCTTCCCCTTTCTTCTCTCTCCTCTCCCTTTCCCCCCTTTTCTCTCTCCCTCTTTTTATTTTCCTCTCCCTCTATTTATCTCTCTCTCCTCTCCCTTTTTCTCTCTCTCCTCCCCTTTCCCCTCTCCCTCTCCCTTTCCCCCTCTCTCCCCCTTTTTTTATCTTTTTCTCTCTCCCCCCTCTCTCAAATTTATCTCTGTTCCTCCCCCTGTATTTTGTCCCTCCCCTCTCCCCTCCCCTTTTTTCCCCTCTCCCCCCTCCCTCCCCCCTCTATGTATCCTGTCTCCAGGTAAATAAAATTTTGGGAAAGTATCTTCTCCACCCCCTCCCTGCCGGGGGGCTGATGCCCGCCTGGCCCCCCCTGAAGGCTGTGGGGCCCTTAGGGCCGGGTTTTTTTAAGGGGGGCTCGGGAAAACACGGAAAGGAGAACCCCCCAATTTAACTCAGCGGAGGACAAGCGGGTTAGGGGGAGCTGGTTTAAAAATGTTCACTTATTGGTTATTGTTTGTATTGACACCCCCCCAAAATTAGATTGTGTGTTTTTTTGGAGTTTTTGTGCTACAATTGCCAGTTTCCCAAACTCTCTACAAAAAAAGGCCCTGTGTTTACCCAGATCAGCTCTGAAAAAGTGATGTAAAATAAGTTTATTGTTTTGGCCAACTTGACCAATTTGGGTAAAAAGGGGAAATCAAACAGGGCGGGCCTGTGTAACGCCCCAAAAGGGTTTCCCAAAGGTAAATGATTGATCGCCCGCTCTTTTTGTTTGGCCCCTATTTGACATTAACAAGTTTTGATTTGATTTGTTAAAGTGGACTAAATTCTAAACAAAGGATCCCCCAGGGGAAAACGAACCATTCACGGGGTGGTGTTGGGGTATTATAAAACGGTGTATAGTTTATTTTTGTTGTGTGTTGCGGGTTTCCTCGGGTAGCCTGTCCTGACCCCTGGCGGGATTTTCCCTGTGTGTGTGTAGTTATAGGTGTGTGTTTTGGGTTATTTGGTTTTGGGTTAGTTAGTTTTGTGTGTGTGTGTTTGTCCCTGTTTGTTTTGTTCCCGGTCTCTGGTACTCTGTCTCTGACCCTTTTGGCCATGCGCGGTTTAAACCAGTTTCCCTACCCTCCCAATTTTGGATGGGGTTAAATGCTGCCCTGGCCCTCTTCACACGCAGAAAAATGGCCCGATGCTGAAACACACTTCACCACCCCTCCCGGGTTAACCACACCCTGCCCTACACCCCCCCCTGTTCCCACCCCAAAACCCTGTCCCACACCACCCCTGTCCCCACCCCCTTTGTCCTACACCACACCTCATATAAAATAAACCGAATAGAACCCCTTTTTAATTCTACTTTTATAAAAGTCTTTGTCTCACCAAAGCTGTTTCTTCCCCAATCCCGCATTTTTGGTGGGGTTTTTCTGAAGGATGGCCCTGTTTCACCAAAACCCCAACCCTTTTTTGTTCAAGACCAAATTTTGTAACGGGGGGTCCGCCGTTCCCCTACCCCCAGGCCCAAACCCGACCAGAACCAACCCCAATGGGCGGCCCAAAGGGCCCCTCTCAAAAGGGCCCCAGGGGGCCCCCCCAAAAATCACCGCTAATTTTGTAGCTAGGGAGGGGCTTCCCGATTCTAAGGTTTCTACGTGTCTGTTTTGGGTTCATCACCAAAGCGTTTTATGGTTATTTGCTGTTCCTTCCACTACCGGGGGCTCAAACCTTTTGGCTTAAAAATGAAACCCCAAATATTGGGGAATTATCTTTTTTCCCCGTGTTCTAAAAAACTACTGTTCCGCCCCCATAAAGTTTAGTATTTTAAAATTTTGGGTTTCCCTTTTTCACTGTCTTGGGGGGGTGGGGGGGGGGGACTGTTTTTCTAAACCCGGGAAATTTGGGAAACCTAAAGTGTTTCTGTTTAAATAAACTGCTTTTTACCTAAAACCCCTCTTGGGCAGTTTGAACTTTTTATTGTGTTTAAAAACCAAAAAAGGGGCTTTCCCCAAGCTCCGGGGAGTTTTTTTTTTTTCTTTTTGGGGGCAAATTTCCCAAGAATTCCCACCTCCTCTCCAAACCCCTGTTTTATTGGGGTTTTCAAAGTTTTTTTTGAAAAATATTTTTTTTCCAAACCCCTTTTTGTTTTAAAAATGCAAACTGGGGGGAGGGAGAAAGTAAAAACCAGATTTTGACGAAAAATTTTCCTTTTTTCACTGGTCACCAAACTCCATTTTGGGTCTTTTCCCCCGCACTAACTAACATTCTATCAAAAAACCCGGCTTGACTTGGGGAGCTCAAGTCCTACTGCGTTCCCCTTTTAGAATATAACTTCCCGCTGGCTTTCCCGCACCTAATATAAACCCACCGGGACCTGTTTCAGTCCAAGTCCCAAATTTATCCCAAACCCGGTCTTGGGTTTTTGTAAAAACCGGGCCCCCCCAGTGATCAAGGGGGGGTCCCCAAAATCATTTCCCCCGGGGGGCCGGGGCCGCAGGTTTCTTTTCCCCCTTTGTGAAGACGTAGCAAACCCTGAGGGGGGCCTTGACTCATTATGACCTTTAAATTTTCAATCAAAAAACCCCTCCTCCGACCTCCCCCCCTCCCTCCGGGAATGAGTCGAAACCGTTCCTGGTAGGGTTTTTGAGGGGTTGGCTAGGCTGGGCTGGAACAAACCCCGCTCACAAATCCCCCGGGTCCAGCCCCCGGGCTCGACAAACCCAAGGGGTTAAATAAAGTTGCAGTATCATCCCTTTTTTCGTCCCAATATTGGGGGGCCCCTCTTCCCACTAGTAGGGGATTGGGTGCCCTTTGGGATGTCCCCTAGTAGGTCTGTACTGGCCCGCCCAGCGAGAAAGAAGGAAAACCCGTTTAGGACCGTTACCAGCACCCTTTTTCCCTCTATCTGGGTTTTTTCCCCCTGGGGGTGTATCTGGGCCCCCCAGTTTTAAAAAAAAAAAAAAAAGTTTTTTTGGGTTTGACATAAAACTGTAAAAAAAAGCTCCAAGTGGGTTTTTTTGTGGAATCTGTTCCCAAAACCTAAGAGAGGCTTTGTCGTTAAAAAACCCTAACCGGGTTTTAAAAAGATTGTTTTTGGGCAAATTTTATACAGTTCGGTCTACTGGCCCCCCCGACCCCTCCCTCAAAAAAAAAAAAAGAAAAAAAAAACGTCCGTGGGTGAATCTAGTTTTATACCCCGACATATAGTCACTACTTTAGACCAGAGAGTTTCCCAAACGGACCTGGTCAACGTAGTGGGTGTTTGTTGGTGTTTGCTTGTGTTTAGTTGTATGTGTGTGTTTTGAAAACTTTTTGTGTGGTTTTGTTTGTGGGTTTTAATTTTGTGGGGTTTTTAGTATGGTGGTTTTGAAAACTTTTTGTGTGGTGTTGGGTTTTGGGGATTTGGTCTTGACTGGTGTATTGAAATGGTGTTTGGTTAGTATTGGGGTTGGGTGGTTTTTGTGGTATTGTAATGTGGTGTTGGGTCTTGTCGGGTTTTTGAACTGTGGGTTGAGGTTTTTGGGTTTGTTTTGGGTAAACGGGGTGTGTTGCAGGTCTCTGGTAGCTCTGTCCTGACCCTGGCCATGTCTTTTAAAACCCAGCCCCCATCTACAATTGGATGAGGTGGTTTGCCCCCGGCCCCTTCTCACAGAGAAATTGGGACAGATGCGGGGACACATTACACCCCCCCGGGTAAACACATGTCCTACACACAACCTTCAACAACACCTGTCCTACACACCCCCGCCCCACACACACACCTGCCATATAAAGTATCCTAATAGAACCCACTTTTATATGGCTACATTTCATAAATGTCTTTGTCTCACCTAAAGCCTGTTTCTCCTCACTCTGCAGTTTGTGGTGGTTGTCTCTGAAGGATGGCATGTTCACCAACGCCAACGTTCTGTTCAAGACCAAGTTCGTAGACGGGGTGTCCGCCGTGTCCCGTACCACCCAGGCCCAACCAGACCAGAACCAGACCCACAAGGGACAGCGACAAGGCCCGTCTCAAAGGCCGCAGGCACAAAAAACTCACCGCTAACGTCTGTAGCTAGCGAGGGGCTTACTGATGCTAGAGGTTTCTACGTGTCTGTTTTGGGTTCATCACCAAAGCGTTTCTATGGTTATTTTGCTGTCCATTCCACTAGCCAGGGAGCTAGCCTTTTGGCTTAACATAATGAAACCTAAATATATGGCAATTATACTTTTGTCTGTGTGTCTGAAATCTACTGTTCCGCACCATATGTGAGTATTTTAATGTCTGTTACTTTCTTCACTGTCTTAGGGGGGGGGGACATGTTTCTACAGCGGAATTTGTAATCCAGTAAATGTGTTTCTGTTTAAAATAAAGCTGCTTTCACATAAAGACCATCTTGTCAGTTTGAACTTTTTATTAGTAGTTTAAAACCAAATAATGACTCCTCAAAGCTCCAGGTAGTTTTTTTATTTCATTTAGGGGACAAATTCACAAGAATTACACACCTCCCTCTCACACCACTGTTCATTGTTGGGTTATCAACGTTTCTGAAAAAATATTTTTTACACCCTTTGTTTTAAACATGCAAACTGGGGGAGGGAGAGAAGTGAACACCAGATCAGACAAACATCCCTTAAATCACTGGTCACCAACTCCAGTCCTGAAGAGCTCTTGCTCCAACCCAGCACTAACTAACATTAACTATCAAGACCCGTGCTTGACTTGGGCAGGAGCTCAAATGTCCTACTGCTGTTCCTCTTTATAGAATATGAACTCCTGCACCTAAATATAAAACTGTACCGGCACCTGTTTCAGTCCAAGTCAAGTTCTGATCCAAACCAGGTGTTGGGAGCTGGGTTGGAGTAAAAGCCTGCACCCACCCAGTAGATCAGGGGTGTCAAACTCATTCCGCGGAGGGCCGTGTCCGCAGGTTTCTCCTTTCAGTGAAGACGTAGACAACCAGGTGAGGGGAGCTCTTGACTCATTTAGTGACCTTTAATTCATCAATCAAAAACCCCCAAGACACTCCGCCCTCCGCCGAATGAGTCGAAACACGTTCCGGTAGGTTGTTGATGTGTTGGCTAGTACTGGGCTGGAACAAAACCCTGCTCACACAGTCGCGCTCCAGGACCAGGGCGTCGACAACCAATGTGTTAAATAAAGTTGCAGTATCATCCTTGGTTACGTCCCAAAATGGCCCCCCTCTTCCCACTAGTAGGGTATAGGGTGCCATTTGGGATGTCCACTAGTAGGTCTGTACTGGCTGCAGCCAGCAGAGAAAGGAGGAACCTGTTTAGGAGCCGTTACACAGCACCCTATTCCCTCTATCTGGGTTCCCAAACTGGCGGTGACTATCTGGCCCCTCGAGTATATAAAAAAAAGTTTTTTGGGGTTTGACATAAGACTGTAAAAACCAGCTCCAAGTGATTTTAATTTAGGAAATCTGTTCCGAAGCCTAAGAGATGTATGTGATCGTATACAAAACGTAAGCAAGGTTTGAAATGATTGTTTCGGTCAAATTATTATATCAGTTCGGTCTACTAGGCCACCCGACCATCCGCTCAAGAAAAAAAAAAGAAATAAAAATCGTCCCGCGGCTGAATCTAGTTGATACCTGGACTATATAGTGCACTACTTTAGACCAGAGAGTCCTATCGGACCTGGTCAACAGTAGTGCACTGTAAAGGGGTTCAGGTCAACAGTAGTGCACTGTAAAGGGGTTCAGGTCAGCAGTAGTGCACTATAAAGGGGTTCAGGTCAACAGTAGTGCACTGTAAAGGGGTTCAGGTCAACAGTAGTGCACTGTAAAGGGGTTCAGGTCAACAGTAGTGCACTATAAAGGGGTTCAGGTCAACAGTAGTGCACTGTAAAGGGAATCGGGTGTTGTTTGTTTACTATGGTGCTGTCCAATTGTAATAACCCAGCCAGCCGTCCATCCACTGACACAATATAATACACATCATCACCACGCCTGCCCAGAGATCTGGGGCGGATTCAAGAGTGTGTGTGTGTGTTCAGAGTTGACTCCAGGGGTTGTGTTCAGGGCTGACTCTGGATGTGTCTCCGTAGTTCCTGGGCCTTGTCCCGTAGGTCAGGTCTGCTGTCTGTCTGCAGGGTGGACAGAGAACGCTGCAGCTGCTCACGACTCTTCCCCGAAACACACTCCCACTGGCCACTCTCTGGAAAGACACACACAACCTGTCACCTTCAGGGACTAGGGGAGAAAACCTGTCACCTTCAGGGACTAGGGGAGAAAACCTGTCCCCTTCAGGGACTAGGGGAGAAAACCTGTCCCCTTCAGGGACTAGGGAAGAAAAACCTGTCCCCTTCAGGGACTAGGGGAGAAAACCTGTCCCCTTCAGGGACTAGGGGAGAAAACCTGTCCCCTTCAGGGACTAGGGGAGAAAACCTGTCCCCTTCAGGGACTAGGGGAGAAAACCTGTCCCGTTCAGGGACTAGGGGAGAAAACCTGTCACGTTCAGGGACTAGGGGAGAAAACCTGTCCCCTACAGGGACTAGGGGAGACAACCTGTCCCCTCAGGGACTAGGGGAAGAAAAACCTGTCCCCTTCAGGGACTAGGGGGAGAAAACCTGTCCCCTTACAGGGACTAGGGGAGAAAACCTGTCCCCTACAGGGACTAGGGGAGAAAACCTGTCACCTTCAGGGACTAGGGGAGAAATCGTTTTCAAACAGAAGATGTAGCAGTGCTCATGTATGTCTTTTGTTCTCAAACGTTCGCTCAGGTTTGAGTAAAATGACTCCTAGACATTTTTACTCATAGCTTCAAAATGGACTCAAACGTACTCCTATATTCTAGGCATGAAAGGTCATGAAGTTCAAGTCCTGCAGACTGGTGCGTTTACTTAAAAGGGTCAAACAACGTTTGTGTTAAAGACACCTTTAGAAGAGTTCATAGAGATGTGGGAGTAGTAATTTAGCACAGTAGAAAGACAGTAGAAAGACAGTAGAAAGACAGCTGAACGACAGTAGAAAGACAGCTGAACGACAGCTGAAAGACAGCTGAAAGACAGCAGAAAGACAGCTGAAAGACAGTAGAAAGACAGCTGAAAGACAGTAGAAAGACAGCTGGAAGGTGAAAGACAGTTAGAAAGACCAGCTGAAAGACGTAGAAAGACAGCTGAACGACAGCTGAACGACAGCTGAAAGACAGTAGAAAGACAGCTGAAAGACGGCTTACCTCCGGTCCTCTTCACCAGTAGTTCCACAACAGACAGCGCTTCGGTCCTCACAGAGGAGTAACTCTTATTCTCTACAGGAGGAAACATTTTAAAAATAACATTGTGAATCTTTCTAATAAAAAAAACCATCTAGGATCGGTTTCCCACACCCAGATTAAACCTAGTCCTGGACTATAAATCATGGCTTACTCAAAAATAGATTATCTCCACTGAAATACATTTTTACTTCTGGAATAGGATCAGGGAAATCAGTCCCTTCTGAAGATGTTTCGCTCCTCAGAAGGTCTTACCTAGTGGGTATGTGAGAGCAGTGTGGAGGTCTTACCTAGTGGGATGGAGAGCAGTGTGGAGCTTACCTGTGGAGTGAGAGCAGTGTGGGGTCTTACCTAGTGGGATGTGAGAGCAGTGTGGAGGTCTTACCTAGTGGTAGTGAGAGCAGTGTGGAGGTCTTACCTAGTGGGTATGTGAGAGCAGTGTGGAGGTCTTACCTAGTGGGTATGTGAGAGCAGTGTGGAGGTCTTACCTAGTGGGTATGTGAGAGCAGTGTGGAGGTCTTACCTAGTGGTATGTGAGAGCAGTGTGAGGTCTTACCTAGTGGGTATGTGAGAGCAGTGTGGAGGTCTTACCTAGTGGGTATGTGAGAGCAGTGTGGAGGTCTTACCTAGTGGGAATGTGAGAGCAGTGTGGAGGTCTTACCTAGTGGTATGTGAGAGCAGTGTGGAGGTCTTACCTAGTGGGATGTGAGAGCAGTGTGGAGGTCTTACCTAGTGGGTATGTGAGAGCAGTGTGGCAGGTCTTACCTAGTGGGAATGTGAGAGCAGTGTGGAGGTCTTACTAGGGGATGTGAGAGCGTGTGGGTCTTACCTAGTGGGAATGTGAGAGCAGTGTGGAGGTCTTACCTAGTGGGTATGTGAGAGCAGTGTGGAGGTCTTACCTAGTGGGTATGTGAGAGCAGTGTAAAGGTCTTACCTAGTGGGTATGTGAGAGCAGTGTAAAGGTCTTACCTAGTGGGTATGTGAGAGCAGTGTGGAGGTCTTACCTAGTGGGTATGTGAGAGCAGTGTGGAGGTCTTACCTAGTGGGTATGTGAGAGCAGTGTGGCGGTCTTACCTAGTGGGATGTGAGAGCAGTGTGGAGGTCTTACCTAGTGGGTATGTGAGAGCAGTGTGGAGGTCTTACCTAGTGGAGTGAGAGCAGTGTGGGAGGTCTTACCTAGTGGGTATGTGAGAGCAGTGTGGGGTCTTACTAGGGAGTGAAGCAGTGGGAGGTCCCTGTATTCAATGGGATTACAGTTGTGGAGGTGCTTACTAGTGGGTATGTGAGAGCAGTGTGGACGGTCTTACCTAGTGGGTATGTGAGAGCAGGGGAGGTCTTACTAGTGGGTATGTGAGAGCAGTGGGACGGTCTTACCTAGTGGGTATGTGAGAGCAGTGTGGAGGTCTTACCTAGTGGTATGTGAGAGCAGTGTGGAGGTCTTACCTAGTCGGTATGTGAGAGCAGTGTGGCGGTCTTACCTAGTTGGAGAGCAGTGTGAGGTCTACCTAGTGGGTATGTGAGAGCAGGTCAGTCTACCTAGTGGTAGTGAAGCAGTGGGTCTTACCTAGTGGTAGTGAGAGCAGTGTGGAGGTCTTACCTAGTGGGTACGTGAGAGCAGTGTGGAGGTCTTACCTAGTGGGTATGTGAGAGCAGTGTGGAGGTCTTACCTAGTGGGTATGTGAGAGCAGTGTGGAGGTCTTACCTAGTGGGTAGGATGTGAGTACAGTGTGTGAGAGAGTGTCTTACCTAGTGGGTATGTGAGAGCAGTGTGGAGGTCTTACCTAGTGGGTATGTGAGAGCAGTGGGGAGGTCTTACTAGTGGGTCTGTGAAAGCAGTGTGGAGGGTCTTACCTAGTGGGTCTGTGGAGCAGTGTGGAGGTCTTACCTAGTGGTCTGGGCAAAGGTCTTACCTCGTGGGAACGGTTGAGAGCAGTGTGGGAGTCTCGTACCTACTAGTACAGTATGGTGAGAGGCAGTGTGGAGGTCTTACCTAGTGGGTATTGAGAGCAGTGTGGAGGTCTTACCTAGCGGGTCGTGAGGGCAGTGTAACGGTCTTACTTCAGTGGGAACGTGAGAAGCAGTTGTGGAGGTCATTACCTAGTCATATGTGAGAGCAGTTGTGGGGGTCTTACCGTAGTTGGGTATGTTGAGAGCAGTTGTGGAGGTCTTACTAGTGGGGTTGTGAGAGCAGTTGTAAAGGTCTTACACCTAGTGGGAAGGTTGAGAGCAGTTGGTTGGAGGTCTTACCTAGTGGGTATGTGAGAGCAGTGTAAAGGTCTTACCTAGTGGGAAGGTGAGAGCAGTGTGGAGGTCTTACCTAGTGGGTATGTGAGAGCAGTGTAAAGGTCTTACCTAGTGGGAAGGTGAGAGCGCTGCATGTCTCTGTGAGGATAAGGGACAGGGCTGTGAAGTTCTGGTTGTCTTTCTCTTTCTCCAACAGTAGCAACCTACACAGGAAGGAACACCAAGACTACATCCTTATCAATCATTCAAAAGGAGAACAACATGAACCAGTCAAATGGGAGTCGGAAAGAAAATAATAGTCATGAAGTAGCTCCACCTTGCCCTCTGATTGGCTAGAGGAAGTAGCTCCACCTTGCCCTCTGATTGGCAAGAGGAAGTAGCTCCACCTTGCCCTCTGATAGGCTAGAGGAAGTAGCTCCACCTTGCCCTCTGATAGGCTAGAGGAAGTAGCTCCACCTTGCCCTCTGATTGGCTAGACATATGTTTTAAGTCTTTCAGATCTCCATAGGTGCACATGGCATAGAGCAGCTCTCTCAAACCCTCCTGTAGGTTTTAACTCAAACCCTGTTCCTGGAAAGAACCCTCCTGTAGGTTAACCCAAACCCTGTTCCTGGAAATAACCCTCCGGTCGGTTACTCAACCCCTGGAAAGAACCCTCCTGTAGGTTAAACTCAAAAACCCTGGTTCCTGGAAAGAAACCCTCCTGTAGTTAACTCAAACCCTGTTCCTGGAAAGAACCCTCCTGTAGGTTAACTCAAACCCTGTCCTGGAAAGAACCCTCCTTTAGGTTAACTTCAAACCCTGTTCCTGGAAAGAACCCTCCTGTAGGTTAACTCAAACCCTGTTCCTGGAAAGAACCCTCCTGTAGGTTAACTCAAACCCTGTTCCTGGAAAGAACCCTCCTGTAGGTTAACTCCAACCCTGTTCCTGGAAAGAACCCTCCTGTAGGTTAACTCCAACCCTCTTCCTGGAAAGAACCCTCCTGTAGGTTAACTCAAACCCTCTTCCTGGAGAGCTAACCTGTAGGTTTCCGCTCCAGCCCTAGTTGATAGTTATTAGTCAGGTTTGCCTGATTAGGGTTGGAGTAAAAACCTGCAGGAGGGTATCTCTCCAGGAACAGGGTTGGAGTAAAAACCTGCAGGAGGGTGTCTCTCCAGGAACAGGGTTGGAGTTAAAACCTGCAGGAGGGTATCTCTCCAGGAACAGGGTTGGAGTAAAAACCTGCAGGAGGGTGTCTCTCCAGGAACAGGGTTGGAGTTAAAACCTACAGGAGGGTATCTCTCCAGGAACAGGGTTGGAGTTAAAACCTGCAGGAGGGTATCTCTCCAGGAACAGGGTTGGAGTGAAAACCTACAGGAGGGTATCTCTCCAGGAACAGGGTTGGAGTGAAAACCTACAGGAGGGTATCTCTCCAGGAACAGGGTTGGAGTGAAAACCTACAGGAGGGTATCTCTCCAGGAACAGGGTTGGAGTGAAAACCTACAGGAGGGTATCTCACCAGGAACAGGGTTGGAGTTACATTTCATGAAGCTCCCGACAAACAGTTATTGTGCTGACGTTGCTTCCAGAGGCAGTTTGGAACTCGGTAGTGAGTGGTGCAACCGAGGACCGACGATATTTACGTGCTTCAGCACTCGGTGGTCCCATTCTGTGAGCTTGTGTGGCCTACCACTTCACGGCTGAGCCGTTGTTGCTCCTAGACGTTTCCACTTCACAATAACAGCCCCTTACAGCTGACCAGGGCAGCTCTAGCAGGGCAGAAAATTGATGAACTGACTTGTTGGAAAGTCACTGAGCTCTTCAGTATGGGCCATTCTACTGCCAAAGTTCGTCTACGGAGATTGCATGGCTGTGTGCTCGATTTTATACACCTGTCAGCAAATCCACTAATTTGAAGGGGTGTCCACATACTTTTGTATATATATATATAAGTGTATGCCTTCGTAGACGGTGTGTGTCCTTACCCCTGGAAGTATTCCTTCATAGACAGCAGGACCCCAACCTGGACCCTCCATGTACTGAGCTTCAACCTCTCACACATCAGACAGCACAGGTCCAATTGGAAACGCTCTGGGAACACAGGTGATATAGCATTAAACACACGTACTACAATATCATTCAAATCACTTCTGAAATAATAACCTTAGTTTGGTTTTATTGAAATTAAGACAAAAAAACTAAACAAATCTCACCCTGGGTTTGTGTGTTGCTGGGCCAGTCAGAACCTTACCCTGGGTTTGTGTGTTGTTGGGCCAGTCAGAACCTTACCCTGGGTTTGTGTGTTGTTGGGCCAGTCATAACCTTACCCTGGGTCTGTGTATTGTTGGGCCAGTTAGAACCTTACCCTGGGTTTGTGTGTTGTTGGGCCAGTCATAACCTTCTCTGGGTTTGTGTGTTGTTGGGCCAGTCAGAACCTTACCCTGGGTTTGTGTGTTGTTGGGCCAGTCAGAACCTTACCCTGGGTTTGTGTGTTTTTGGGCCAGTCAGAACCTTACCCTGGGTTTGTGTGTTTTTGGGCCAGTCAGAACCTTACCCTGGGTTTGTGTGTTGTTGGGCCAGTCAGAACCTTACCCTGGGTTTGTGTGTTTTTGGGCCAGGTCTTGCCCAGCGTCTGGAAGGCACAGAGTAGAGCTTCAGTCTGCAGCTCCTTCTCCTTCTCATCAGTATCATCATCACTATCACGCCTCAGCCTCCAAGTAGCTGCAGAGTTCTGTCACACACACCATTATATTTTACACATTTGACAAATCAATAGAATACTGATGTTGCAATAAAAGAGAAAGACACACAATCTCTCTCTCTCTGTCTCTCTGTCTGTCTCTGTCTCTCTCTCTGTCTGTCTGCTCTGTTCTCGCTCTGTCTGTCTGGTCTCCGTCTTCTGTCTGTTCTGTCTGTCTCTTCTGCTTCTTTTCGTCTGTCTGTCTCTTCGTCTGTCTGTCTCTCTGTCTGTCTGTCTCTGTCTCTCTCTCTGTCTCGTCTCTCGCCCCCGCCTGCTCTGTCTCTGTCTCTCTTCTGTCTCTCTTCTGTCTGTCTCCTCTGTTGTCTCGTCTCGTCTCGTCTGGTCCTGTCTCTCGTCTCTGTCTCTCTCGTTCTCTGTCTCTTTCTCGTCTCTCTGTCGTCGTCTCCGTCTGTCTGTCTCGTCTCCTGTCTGTCGTCCTGTCCTGTCTGTGTCTCTTCTCCGTCTCGTGTCTCTGTCCTCCGTGTCTCCTCGTCGTCCTCTCTCTCTGTCTCTCCTCTCTGTCTCCGTTCTCTGTCTCCCCGTGTCGTCTGTCGTCCCGGTCTTGTCTCCTGTCTGCTCCGTGTCTCTGTCTCCCCGTGTCTCTGTCTCCCCGTGTCTCTGTCTCTCCGTGTTCTGTCTCCCCGTGTCCTCTGTCCTCTCCGTGTCCTGTTCTGCTCACTTCTCGTCTCTCTGTCTCTCCGTGTCACTGTCCTCCTCCGTTCTCTCCGTCTCTCCCCTTCTGTCTCTCCCGTGTCCTGTCATCCCTGTCTCTGTCTCCCCGTGTCCTGTCATCCCCGTATCTCGTCATCCACAGTCTCGTCCCCACGTCTCGTCTCACGATCTCTCTCCTACCTTCTTAATGCCAGTATGAGTATTCGCCATCATCCTGAACGGTCCACATTCCGTCATGCAGGACGTCAGCAGCACAGCCCAGGGCAGCCATCTTGTAGACCAGTGATCTTACACATCATCCTCAACACCACACATCACCATCGTCACAACATGGCAGGCCCTGAGCCGACATTCTGGAGCTCACACTCAAACACATCATCATCCCAACATCATCCATCATCCACACATCACCTCATCACACATCATCCTCATCATCCACAACATCATCCTCATCATCCACAACATCATCCTCATCATCCACAACATCATCCTCATCATCCACAACATCATCCTCATCATCCACATCATCCTCAACATCATCCTCATCATCCACAACATCATCCTCTACATCCACAACATCATCCTCATCATCCACAACATCATCCTCAACATCCACAACATCATCCTCATCATCCACAACATCATCCTCAACATCCACAACATCATCCTCATCATCCACAACATCATCCTCAACATCATCCTCATCATCCACAACATCATCCTCATCATCCACAACATCATCCTCAACATCCACAACATCATCCTCAACATCCACAACATCATCCTCAACATCATCCTCATCATCCACAACATCATCCTCATCATCCACAACATCATCCTCAACATCATCCTCATCATCCACAACATCATCCTCATCATCCACAACATCATCCTCAACATCCACAACATCATCCTCAACATCCACAACATCATCCTCAACATCATCCTCATCATCCACAACATCATCCTCATCATCCACAACATCATTCTCATCATCCTCCTCATCACAGGGACAAGAGACAGAGACAGGGACTGCTCCTAGTGTTAATGGTGTTTGATGGAGAGGAGAAACCTTACCTGCACTTTGACACCACAGAGCCGATGGCGTTCAACAGCTCCTCCTGTGGACAAACAGAGAACTGGTGTGAAGACATCTGTACACAACACCAGACACACTTTGGTCAAGTTACTTACAATCTGAACACACCCCTTCCACTGAACACTCTACACACACAGGCCACCCTCCCCACCTTTCCAGTCCAGGTGCGTCCGGCCAGCCCCTGCAGCAGAGCAGACAACACCATGCCCAGGTGAGGGACCACCAGAGAACCCGTCTGTTGCTTAGCGATGGACGCCATGGCAGCCGCGCCCTGGGCCTTCATCTTCCACGACTGGGACTGTAAGGCCTTCTGGGTAATGTCGATCAGCTCCGTCATGTAGAGGCGGATGCCCCCGAAGCTTCCTGGAAGAAGACGAGAGGTCAGGGGTCAGAGGTCAGGGGTTGAAAGGTCAAAGTGTTTTGTCTTGAGGACAAATGGTGCACCTGGTACGTCTTCCTGCCAGACACACTCTCTCTACAGAGCCTTGGTCCATAGTGACTCTCCCCCTCTCCACTGTGTGTGTTTCTCTGACCAGGTGTGTGTTTCTCTGACCAGGTGTGTTTTTCTCTGACCAGGTGTGTTTTTCTCTGACCAGGTGTGTTTTTCTCTGACCAGGTGTGTGTTTCTCTGACCAGGTGTGTTTTTCTCTGACCAGGTGTGTGTTTCTCTGACCAGGTGTGTGTGTTTCTCTCTCCTCTCTCACCTGGTACGTGTTCCTGCCAGACCTCGTTCCACAGCGTGGCGTCATGGCTCTCTCCCTTCTCCTCGTCTGGTCCCGGTGCCTGGTGCATACCCAGGAAGGCTAGGGGCAGAGCGACCACCGCATGCCCCTTCAGGACATCAGGGCTGTAGTGGCTGATAGCGTGGACCGTCAGGGCACACGACGACTTGTACACCGGCTCTGAGAGGGGAGCGAGAGAGGGAAACTGAGAACCCTAGAGCTATGTCAAGATCAATCATCTATAGGAGTGGTGTCCAACTCACTTCCTGGAGGGCCTGCTGCGTTTTTGTTAAACCTTTCAATTTGAAGACCTTGACAACCAGGTGAGGAGAGTTCCTAACTAATCAACTACAAGGGCGGAGTGAATTCCCACTGACACACGGCCATCCAGGAAGTGAGCTGACACACGGCCATCCAGGAAGTGAGCTGACACACGGCCATCCAGGAAGTGAGCTGGACACCCCTGATCTAGGGGCAGTGGCTGGTGGTTGTTTTGGGACAGTGAAATAGGAGGAGGAAGCTGAGAGGACAGATCCTGTTGCTGTTTTCTTACCTTCTTTCTCTAGATACCAGGTGTTGAGCTTCAGTAGGAGTTTCTCTACACTGCTGTCCTTCGCTGTCTGAGGAGGCACAGACAAGACAGTTAGATTGTATTAATACAATAGTTTGGTGAATAAAACCGGTCCTGACTTCATGTTATACACCGATGCAGTTTGTTAAATAAAACCATACTACTCACCCTGACTAGATGTCCCAGGGCGAAGGAGAAGGCTTTCTGGACAACACTGCTACGGTCATGAATTCCATTCAGTAGGGCACTCATCAGTTTACCTGACACACACACACACACACACACACACACACACACACACACACACACACACACACACACACACACACACACACACACACACACACACACACACACACACACACACACACACACACACACACACACACACACACACACACACACACACACACACATTAAATCAGGATTGAACATACATGCATCATGATGGAGACTGTATAGAAGGTCCAGTCCAGGTCTGGGAAAACCGGACCATAGAAGAGAGGTTTTGTCAACTTGTAAACACAAACCCTACTCCATTCTCCTGGCCATTTCCCTTTGGGTGTTGGCCAAACAGCAGATCTAGGATTGGTATGGTAAAGTCTCCTCCTATATATATCCACCTGAGAGTGTAACATGGTTACCTGAGTAGGGGGTGAGGTCCTGGGGACACTGGACAGTGAGGGATACGATCACGCTGGCACAACCACCCTGGAACAGGAATAACAGGTGAGTGATATTGTGACATTCATTCAGATTGTTTGATAGTCACATGTACAGGGTTGCAGGTGTGATTGCAGGGGTACAGTGTAAATCTGACCTTGTTTACATAACTATTTCAGACCCTTTTACTATGAGACTCGAAATTGAGCTCAGGTGCATCCTGTTTCCATTGATCATCCTGGAGATGTTTCTACAACTTTGATTGGAGTCCACCTGCGGTAAATTCAATTGATTGGCCATGATTTGGAAAGGCACACACCTGTCTATATAAAAGGTCCCACAGTTGACAGTGCATGTCGAGGCACAGATCTGGGGAAGCGTACCAAAGAATTTCTGCAGCATTGAAGGTCCCCAAGAACACAGTGGCCTCCATCATTCTTAAATGGAAGAAGTTTGGAACCACCAAGACTCTTCCTAGAGCTGGCCACCAGGCCAAATTGAGCAATCGGGGGAGAAGGGCCTTGGTCAGGGAGATGACCAAGAACCTGATGGTCACTCTGACAGAGCTCCAGAGTTCCTCTGTGGAGATGGGAGAACATTCCAGAAGGACAACCATCTCTGCAGCATTCCACCAATCAGGCCATTATGGTAAAATGGCCAGACGGAAGCCACTCCTCAGTAAAAGGCACCTGACAGCCTGCTGGGAGTTTGGCAAAAGGCACCTAAAAGACTCTCAGACCATGAGAAACAAGATTCTCTGGTCTGATGAAACCAAGATTGGACTCTTTGGCCTGAATGCCAAGCGTCACGTCTGGAGGAATCCTGGATCATGCTGTGTTTTTCAGCGGCAGGGACTGGGAGACTTGTCAGGATCGAGGGAAAGATGAATGGAGCAAAGTACAGAGAGATCCTTGATGAAAACCTGTTCCAGAACGCTCAGGACCGCAGACTGGGGCGAAGGATCACCTTCCAACAGGACAGCGACCCTAAGCACACAGCCAAGACAACGCAGGAGTGGCTTTGGGACAAGTCTCTGAATGTCCTTGAGTGGCCCAGCCAGAGCCCGGACTTGAACCCGATCGAACATCTCTGGAGAGACCTGAAAATAGCTGTGCAGCGACGCTCCCCATCCAACCTGACAGAGCTTGAGAGGATCTGCAGAGAAGAATGGGAGAAACTCCCCAAATACAGGTGTGCCAAGCTTGTAGCGTCATTTGTCCCGTGTAGCTCAGTTGGTAGAGCATGGCGCTTGCAATGCCAGGGTTGTGGGTTCGATTCCCACGGGGGACCAGTATGAAAATGTATGCACTCACTAACTGTAAGTCGCTCTGGATAAGAGCGTCTGCTAAATGACTAAAACATTATTTTTTTTACAAAAATGTGGACACTCTTACTGAGTTGCGTCTGCTTCGCGTGATGTATTGTTGTCTCTACCTTCTTGCCCTTTGTGCTGTTGTCTGTTGCCCAATAATGTTTGTACCATGTCTTGTGCTGCTGCCATGTTGTGTTGCTACCATGTTGTTTTCATGTTGGGTTGCTGCCATTCTGTTGTTGTTGTTGTTTTAGGTCTCTCTTTATGTAGTGTTGTCTCTCTTTATGTAGTGTTGTGGTGTCTCTCTTTATGTAGTGTTGTGGCGTCTCTCTTTATGTAGTGTTGTGGCGTCTCTCTTTATGTAGTGTTGTGGTGTCTCTCTTTATGTAGTGTTGTGGTGTCTCTCTTTATGTAGTGTTGTGGAGTCTCTCTTTATGTAGTGTTGTGGTGTCTCTCTTTATGTAGTGTTGTCTCTCTTTATGTAGTGTTGTGGCGTCTCTCTTTATGTAGTGTTGTGGTGTCTCTCTTTATGTAGTGTTGTGGCGTCTCTCTTTATGTAGTGTTGTGGCGTCTCTCTTTATGTAGTGTTGTGGCGTCTCTCTTTATGTAGTGTTGTGGTGTCTCTCTTTATGTAGTGTTGTGGAGTCTCTCTTTATGTAGTGTTGTGGTGTCTCTCTTTATGTAGTGTTGTCTCTCTTTATGTAGTGTTGTGGTGTCTCTCTTTATGTAGTGTCTCTCTTTATGTAGTGTTGTGGCGTCTCTCTTTATGTAGTGTTGTAGTGTCTCTCTTTATGTAGTGTTGTGGCGTCTCTCTTTATGTAGTGTTGTGGTGTCTCTCTTTATGTAGTGTTGTGGCGTCTCTCTTTATGTAGTGTTGTGGTGTCTCTCTTTATGTAGTGTCTCTCTTTATGTAGTGTTGTGGCGTCTCTCTTTATGTAGTGTTGTGGTGTCTCTCTTTATGTAGTGTTGTGGTGTCTCTCTTTATGTAGTGTTGTGGTGTCTCTCTTTATGTAGTGTTGTGGTGTCTCTCTTTATGTAGTGTTGTAGTGTCTCTCTTTATGTAGTGTTGTGGTGTCTCTCTTCATGTAGTGTTGTGGTGTCTCTCTTTATGTAGTGTTGTGGCGTCTCTCTTTATGTAGTGTTGTGGCGTCTCTCTTTATGTAGTGTTGTGGTGTCTCTCTTTATGTAGTGTTGTCTCTCTTTATGTAGTGTTGTGGTGTCTCTCTTCATGTAGTGTTGTGGTGTCTCTCTTTATGTAGTGTTGTGGTGTCTCTCTTTATGTAGTGTTGTGGTGTCTCTCTTTATGTAGTGTTGTAGTGTCTCTCTTTATGTAGTGTTGTGGTGTCTCTCTTCATGTAGTGTTGTGGTGTCTCTCTTTATGTAGTGTTGTGGTGTCTCTCTTTATGTAGTGTTGTGGTGTCTCTCTTTATGTAGTGTTGTGGTGTCTCTCTTCATGTAGTGTTGTGGTGTCTCTCTTTATGTAGTGTTGTGGTGTCTCTCTTTATGTAGTGTTGTCTCTCTTTATGTAGTGTTGTGGTGTCTCTCTTTATGTAGTGTCTCTCTTTATGTAGTGTTGTGGCGTCTCTCTTTATGTAGTGTTGTAGTGTCTCTCTTTATGTAGTGTTGTGGCGTCTCTCTTTATGTAGTGTTGTGGTGTCTCTCTTTATGTAGTGTTGTGGCGTCTCTCTTTATGTAGTGTTGTGGTGTCTCTCTTTATGTAGTGTCTCTCTTTATGTAGTGTTGTGGCGTCTCTCTTTATGTAGTGTTGTGGTGTCTCTCTTTATGTAGTGTTGTGGTGTCTCTCTTTATGTAGTGTTGTGGTGTCTCTCTTTATGTAGTGTTGTGGTGTCTCTCTTTATGTAGTGTTGTAGTGTCTCTCTTTATGTAGTGTTGTGGTGTCTCTCTTCATGTAGTGTTGTGGTGTCTCTCTTTATGTAGTGTTGTGGCGTCTCTCTTTATGTAGTGTTGTGGCGTCTCTCTTTATGTAGTGTTGTGGTGTCTCTCTTTATGTAGTGTTGTCTCTCTTTATGTAGTGTTGTGGCGTCTCTCTTTATGTAGTGTTGTGGCGTCTCTCTTTATGTAGTGTTGTGGTGTCTCTCTTTATGTAGTGTTGTCTCTCTTTATGTAGTGTTGTGGTGTCTCTCTTCATGTAGTGTTGTGGTGTCTCTCTTTATGTAGTGTTGTGGTGTCTCTCTTTATGTAGTGTTGTGGTGTCTCTCTTTATGTAGTGTTGTAGTGTCTCTCTTTATGTAGTGTTGTGGTGTCTCTCTTTATGTAGTGTTGTGGTGTCTCTCTTTATGTAGTGTCTCTCTTTATGTAGTGTTGTGGCGTCTCTCTTTATGTAGTGTTGTGGTGTCTCTCTTTATGTAGTGTTGTGGTGTCTCTCTTCATGTAGTGTTGTGGTGTCTCTCTTTATGTAGTGTTGTGGTGTCTCTCTTTATGTAGTGTTGTGGTGTCTCTCTTTATGTAGTGTTGTGGTGTCTCTCTTCATGTAGTGTTGTGGTGTCTCTCTTTATGTAGTGTTGTGGTGTCTCTCTTTATGTAGTGTTGTCTCTCTTTATGTAGTGTTGTGGTGTCTCTCTTCATGTAGTGTTGTGGTGTCTCTCTTTATGTAGTGTTGTGGTGTCTCTCTTTATGTAGTGTTGTCTCTCTTTATGTAGTGTTGTGGTGTAGTGTATGTGGGGGGGATTACCATAGGGGGAGTAGTCTGACCATTGGGGGGGGTGGGGGCAGAGTAAAGTCTGTAGGGGGGGTGGAATGACTATAGGGGGGGCAGAGTAAAGTCTGTAGGGGGGGGGGGGTGGAATGACTATAGGCGTAATAATATGCAGTTTATCACCAAGGAACACAGCAGAGGATTTGACTTCCTGACAACGTGTCGTCCTAGTCAGGCCGAGACAGGCATGGTGGTGGGAGAGAGGGGAGGAGTGTGTTACCTTGGTGCCCAGGCCCACTCCGCTCTTCAGTAAGTCACAGAGTCTGGGGACCAGCTCCCCCAGAACAGACACGTCCAGGTGCTGCAGACACATGTTGATGGTCTCCATCATGGGGGAGGACTTGGCAGCACTGAGTCTGGCTGCATCCATGGCACTCTGGAGAGAGAGAGAGAGGTAACATCAATGACTGCTGATAATCACACCTCTGGAGAGACAGTAGTTACATTAACCCATCAGAGACCGTAGTTACCCCATCAGAGACAGTAGTTACATTACCCCATCAGAGACAGTAGTTACATTACCCCATCAGAGACAGTAGTTACATTACCCCATCAGAGACAGTAGTTACATTACCCCATCAGAGACAGTAGCTACATTACCCCATCAGAGACAGTAGTTACATTACCCCATCAGAGACAGTAGTTACCTTACCCCATCAGAGACAGTAGTTACCTTACCCCATCAGAGACAGTAGTTACATTACCCCATCAGAGACAGTAGTTACATTACCCCATCAGAGACAGTAGTTACATTACCCCATCAGAGACAGTAGTTACATTACCCCATCAGAGACAGTAGCTACATTACCCCATCAGAGACAGTAGTTACATTACCCCATCAGAGACAGTAGTTACCTTACCCCATCAGAGACAGTAGTTACCTTACCCCATCAGAGACAGTAGTTACATTACCCCATCAGAGACAGTAGTTACATTACCCCATCAGAGACAGTAGTTACATTACCCCATCAGAGACAGTAGTTACATTACCACATCAGAGACAGTAGTTACATTACCCCATCAGAGACAGTAGTTACATTACCCCATCAGAGACAGTAGTTACATTACCCCATCAGAGACAGTAGTTACATTACCACATCAAGATTGATGCCTATTCTTTATGCCACATAACTAGATAACCACATAACCAAATACCCACATAACTACATAACCAAATACCCACATAACTACATAAACGCCTAACCAACTACCCACATAACTATACGGAACAAAACTAAAGACAACATGCAACAATTTCAAAGATTTTACTGAGTTACAGTTCATATGAGGAAATCAGTCAATTCAAATAAATAAATTAGGCCCTAATCTATGGATTTCACCACGACAGGGAATACAGATATGTATCTGTTGGTCACAGATACTTAAAAAGAAATAGGCCTCAGGATCTCGTCACGGTATTTTTATGCATTCAAATTGCCATTTAAAATGTGATTGTGTTCGTTGTCCGTAATTTTTTGCCTGCCCATACCATAACCCCACCGTCACCATGGGGCACTCTGTTCACAATGTTGACATCAGCAAACCGCTCGCCCACACAATGCCATACATGTGGTCTGCGGTTGTGAGGCTGGTTGGACGCACTGCCAAATTCTCTAAAATGATGGAGGCGGCTTATGGTAGAGAAATGAACATTATTGGCAACTCTGTGACATCGGCGCTCATCTAAAATAAACCCCCACAAACCTTTTTGGGAAGAGACCCCCGGGTAGAAAAGGGTTTCCCAATAAACCCCCATAAAGGAAGAACCCCCCGGGTGTTTCCCCAAAATTTACCCCCAAAAAATTTCAAAAAGGCCCAAAAAGGTTATTTTACCTTACCCCTTTTTTTTTTTTTTTTTTTTTTTTTTTTTTTTTTTTTTTTTTTTTTTTTTTTTTTTTTTTTTTTTTTTTTTTTTTTTTTTTTCCCCCCCCCCCCCCCCCCCCCCCCCCCCCCCCCCCCCCCCCCCCCCCCCCCCCCCCCCCCCCCCCCCCCCCCCCCCCAGGGCCGGGTAGGTTTACCCCATCCAAAATTTAAAATGGGGGAAAGGGGCTTTAATTAGAGACTGAACTTTAAAACCCTCAAACAGTTGGTTACTTTTCCCCATTAAAACATGATTCCAACCCCCCCAAAACGAGAACCCCCCATCAGGCATTGTTCTTTCCCCAAAAAGAATTTTTAGTTTTTTGGCCCCCACAAAAGGGTATTTTAAATTTTCCCCCATCAGGGACCACTTTTAACCCCCGGCATATTCATAACCACAAACTACCCCCAACCCCATAAAGCAGAACCTTCCTCTTGGTTTTTTTAATGGGTTTTTCTTCCCCTTTTTTCGAGGTTTTTTTACTTCCCTCAGGGGGGTATTTTAATTACCACTGGAAATTTTTGGTTTTTTAAAATGGGGGAAAAAGTATTTATTCCCCTCAAAAAGGGTAGTTTCCCAAATAAAACCAAGAAATGAAAATCAAATTTTAAATTTATTTATTTGAAACCCTAAAAAAAATAAAAAACCCAAACCCAAAAATAAAAAGAAAAACCCCCACATTTCAAAAAAATAAAAAAAATAAAATTGTTTTGGGGGTTTTAATGGGGGAAATAATAATTAAAATAAAAAATGGGAAAAATTTGTTTCCAGGGGTCCTTTAAAAGGTAACAAGTCAAAGAAAAGGGGCCAATCTTAAGGTTTTTTTTGCTTAAAAATTTCAAAAAAAGGATTTTTTCCTTTTTAAAAAAGGCCCAAAAAAAACCGCCCACAGGGGAAATTCTTTAAATTTTAAAACCCCAAAAAATCTCCCCCCAAAAGGGGCCAAAACCCGGGCTGGGGGAAGGGGGTTGGGCCCCCAAATTTAAAAATAACCGGTTTGGAAAATGGCCCCTTAAACCTCGGCCAAAAGTTTGGTAAATTTTTGAAAAAACAGTGGTTGCGTTTTTAAAATTAACAAAGGGGGGAAAAAAAAAAAGAAATTTTTAATCCCCTTTTTGGCCCCCCCCCCCCCCCAAAATCCAAAAACCCGTGAGTTGGGTGCCAAATCAGCTTTGCAGTAAAAAATAACAAACCGCAAATAAACCCCTTTTTTTTTATGTAGGGGGGTTTTTCTTTTTTTCGGGGTTTGTGTTGTTTCCTTCCCCTGCCTGGGTGGAGGGGGGGTTTGTAACCGGGTTGGTGGGAACTGGGGGGAAAAGGAGGCCCCTGGGATTTCCCAGAGGGGGGGCCGTGGGCTTAATTTTCCCGGGGTTTTTTTAAACCCCTTAACCCGGGGTTTTTAATACAAAAAAAAAAAACCCGGAAAACCCAATTTCCAAAAATGTTTAAATTTTTCTTTTTTTGAGGGAAAAAGAGAAAAATAAAAATTTTTCTTCTCCCAGGTGTTTTTAAGGGAACGAGAAATTAAACCCCGAAAGGGATGCCCCAAAAAATCTCCCGGTAAAAGGGAAACCCTGTAACAGAAGAACCAATAGACCCCAAATTTTTTCCTTTTTTTTTTTGGGAAAAAAAGAGCCCCAAGGGAGTGGGAAAAGATTAAATAGATTACAAAGGCGGAAGGGCCGGTAAAACCCAACCCCAAACGGGGGAGATTGAAAACCAGGGTGGATTTTTCCAAATGGGAAAAAAAAGAAAAACAAAAAGAAGAAACCCTGGGGGGTCCAAAAAATCTCACCCGGGATTGACTACTTGGTTTTGTAGTAAAACTACAAAACCGGGGGGCCCCCTTTTTTCCCCCCATTTTGGGGTGGTTCTTCGGTGTGGGACCCCCTGTCCCGGGGGTAGGAAAGGAGATGGGGCTAGGAAATACCTTAAAAGGGGGGCGGGAAAATTACCGAGGGGCGGGGGGAAAACCCTAAAGTTTCCGGACCCAAAACCCAGGGGCGGTCGGGGGGGGAGACCAGAACGGGGCCCAAAAGAAAGAATTTTAAAAGAGAGGGGAAAATCAGGGGAAAAGGGAAACCGAGAGGAGAAACGGGGAAAGAACAAAAGGAGAGAGGAAACAGGGGAAGACAACGGAGGGAATAAAACAAAAAAGAGACGGGGAAACAAAAAACGGGAAAAGGGGAAACGGGGAAAACGAGAGGGCCCCCGAGGGGCCCGCAGGAGAAGACCGGGAGGGAAAAAAGGTGACAAGAAAGGATCAACAGAAGCGGGGAGAACCCGACGGACCAAAAAGGGCAGGGAAAACCAAAGGAGGGGGGGAAACGAGACGGGGAACGAAAAAAACCCCCCCAAAGGACAGGGGAGAACGGGGAGGGAAAAAGAAGGGGAAAAAAAAGGGGACAGGGGGAATTTTTTTAAAGGAAGTAACAAGAAATTTTGGGAAAACGGGAGAGGGGGGGAAAACAGGGGAAAATTTTGGAGGTGAAAAAAAAAGAGGGGGAAAAAAGGGGGTTTTTGGAGGGGTGGGAACGTTCTGGGGGACCTTTCCAGGGGGTTTTTGAAACTAGTTTGGGGCGGAAAACCAGCTTTACCTTTTAAATAAAAACCTGGGGGGGGGAATTTTAAACCCGGAACCCCAGAGAGGGGAGGGGGTTTTAATGAAACATTGGTAAAGGGAAGAAAGGGGGGTTTTTAAAAGGAACAAAACCCTTTAGACCCCCCCCTGGAAAAGAGAGGGACAGGGGTAAAGGGAAAAAAATCCTGTCCCACACCGGGGACGCGGGGGGGAACGGGTTTTTTTTTTTGGTTTTTTCCTTTTAAGGAGATGGAGGGCCCCAGGGTTTTTTTTGTAAACATATTACAACCTGGAAAGAAAAGGGGGGGCCCCGGGTTTAATGTAACACCCTTTAGTACCACCGGGAAAGAGGGGGGGGACAGGGTTTAAAGTAACACTTTTCCTATTTACACCCCTGGAGAGAGGGGGGCCCGGGGGGTTTAAAAACTTTAACCATCCATACACACCTGGAGAGAGGGGGGCACAGGGTTTAACGTAACACATCCTAGTACACACCGGAGGGGGGGGAAACGGGGTTTTTAATTAACAAATCTATACCACCGTGGAGAGAGGGGGACAGGGTTTAACGTAACACATCCTAGTACACACCTGGAGAGAGGGGGACAGGGTTTAACGTAACACATCCTAGTACACACCTGGAGAGAGAGGGGACAGGGTTTAACGTAACACATCCTAGTAACACCCTGGGAGAGGGGGACAGGGTTTAACGTAAAAAAATCCTATTTCAAAACCTGGAGGGGGAGGGGAAGGGTTTTTAACGAAAACACTTTCCTGAAACCCCCCCGGAGGAGGGGGGCCCGGGTTTTTAACATAACCCCCCTGTAAAACCCCCTGGAGGAGGGGGACAGGGTTTAATCAACATTTTTGTACACCCCTGGAGAGGGGGGGGGACGGGTTTTTAAACGTAAAAAAAACCCTAGTACACACCCGGGAG